CCCCCCAAGCTCCGGTGAAACGAAACAGACAGAGTACCCGGTACTTGTATCTGTGCACAAGCGGATAAGGCCAGTGCGGTACCTGATACTTGCCGGTCTTTGCACCAAAACCTGCAAGGAGCAGGTAATAACGACTCGTGCGTCTGAAGGCATCGGAGTGTTACGCGAACGTCTGGAGGACAGCCTCATCAACATTATCGCCATTCCCACGCCAATCCACCACGACCATTAGACTTCTAGAAGGAGGATAACCGGTAGGGAATTGTATAACTACCGTCTTCGCCCCGGATTATTAAGCGCCTGAACTGACCATCCACTCGCGGTTCTTCGCAGAAGCGCTGGAAACCCATCCATTGCCCCCTCTCCCTCGCGTATCTGGTTTTGGTTCCCCGCCGTCGCTCCTCGGGCTTGTTGGGTATTTCCGCCCTGCTTGTTCATCGTCACCTTCCAGGGATCAGTCTTGTCGGCCGATCCAGACACTCCCGCCAGCGCACCACAGTCAACGTGATCCTGCGACTGTCAGCCTGTGATTCCTGACTTTAAGCCCTTGGGTTGACCCTCAATTATCCTTCCTCCTTCATCTGACGGTCTGGTTTCGCCTGTGCAGTGCCGGGCTGACAAAGTGATTACATTGCCCGTGGGTCGCTTCAGCCCTCCCAAACAAGGACCTTGCTCTTGTTTCGTCTTCGTTTGTCACTCTCTCAGGTCGTGAAAGGTACGTGGTCTGGACCTCCCTCCTTCCTTGCCCTTTTCGGATTTTATGGCAATGCACTCTGTGCTGCTGCTGCTGCTGTCATCCCCTAAAGCTTGTCGCTTGCCGCTCGCATAGGCTCTTCGAGACTTGACTCCTTCCTCAACTTCCTGAGAAGCCCACCCCTGATAATTCTTCAGCCCATATTCACCGATCTTTTTCTATGACGCTTGAGGCGCATGCAACCTTACTAACTTTGTCTATTTCGCGCATGTAGCGCTTGGCCGCTCAGACCCGGTTTATCTTGCCTATCGTTCTCCTCTCCTCTCCTACCTTGTGTCCTGGGACGATTCGATCATAACGACTCAGCCCTTCCGGAATCTGTTCGATATATGACTTTCTACCGACCAACCATTGCATACTTGCACTTTGCATGAACCTCATTTACTAGATTTGACCGCTTACCACGGTTTTGTATCATACCCGGCTCTCCGTAACGACGTTTCGGCGACGACCTGCGATCAAAAGTGCTCGTGCTACTGTGCTTCCTTTCCATGACTCTTTTCGCCCAGTTATATAATTCATCATGTTTTGGCGTTTCGGAGGATATGCAAGTATCTCCGCCATTGATACCCTGCTAGACAAGCCCGATGTCACCCTTGAAGAGCTGTTGGATGAGTCTGAGCTCATCCAAGAGCTCAAACAAAATAATACGAAGCTCATAGAATTCTTACGAGAAGATAATGTCCTAAAACGACTCATGGATTATGTTACTGCGCCTAGTCTGGTGAACGAAGATGACGAAGATGACGATCACGAGAACAATGCGCAGACGAACAAAGATGATGCAACGGAAGAGGCCAAGGGGGGAGACCCCCTTAAGGATATTCTGGACCCCGAAGACCTGGAGCGGGCGGAGAAGGATCGCATGAAGCGAGCCTACGTCGCATGCGAAATTCTATCATCGGAGATATGGTCGATCGTGGAGTCTATTCTGCTCAATCCTGACAACTTACGAGATTTCTGGGGGTTTTTGCGGCGCACGCCACCTTTGGACTCTGCCCAGGCGAGTTACTTTACGAAAGTGAATGAAACCCTATTCGACAAGAAAACCAGTGAAATGCTGGAGCTATTCAAGTCAATGGAGGGGATTGTACCGGCAATCTTGCAGCACGTGGACAACCCTATGGTCATGGACCTCCTACTCAAAATCATAAGCTTGGAGAAGGTCGAAGGTGGCCATGGCATTGTTGATGTAAGTTGAGAGTAACCATCTCTCGCCTGTAAGTGATCCATGCTGATAACTGTCCGCAGTGGTTGAAAACCCAGAACCTTATACCCACGCTCCTCTCATTCCTATCCCCGGATCACCCTGCCTCAGTGCAAACATCAGCCGGGGACTTTCTCAAAGCTATTATCACTATATCCGCAAACGCAACCCAGAATGACCAATCCTGCATTGGCCCTAACAGCCTCACCCGTCAGTTGGTCTCCATGCCATGTGTGGAAAGTCTAATCAAGGCCATGCTACAAGGTGGAAATCCCTTGACAGTTGGTGTTGGCATCGTCATTGAAGTGATCCGGAAGAACAACTCCGACTACGATCCTGAGAACATCAATGGTCCGGACTCGCTCCCAACAACATACGATCCGATCTACCTCGGAAATCTGCTTCGGCTTTTTGCCAAACACATACCTGACTTCATGGCGCTGATTCAAAGCTCCAAACACACTGTGAACGATGGGGGCAAGGTTAGAAGTGTAGAAAGGGGCAAGCTCAACTCAGCATGGGGTGCCAAGATCGAGCCTCTGGGCTTTGACAGATTCAAGACATGCGAATTGATGGCCGAACTGCTACATTGCAGTAACATGGGCCTCTTGAATGAGCCTGGTAGTGACGATTACGTGCGGCAGCGTGATGCTGAGCGAGAGAGGCTGATGCGCGAGGGCGTCTTCAATCCGCATCGCGAAGAGACATCGGCATTTGATGGGAATGATTCTACGGTGGATTTTGTCAATGGATCCGTCATTGGCTACGGCTCCCCTGAGGGCTCTAGGGTGCTTGAGGTTGCAAATACGGGCGAGGAAAGCTTCGAGGACGTTAGCGCATCCGGAGTTCTTGTCGACAAGGAAAAGGATGCTGAAGTTAAGGACACCAGCAGCCCCGAGACTAAGGCGGAGTCCGCAGCTTCCTCGCAGCAGGCCCCGACAGAAACAGCCGAAAATGCGTCAAATGGCACGTCGGAGGACGGCTCAGGCAATGAAAACCCTGCGAGTCAGGCTCGAGCACAAACGCCTCCTTCCGATCCTGTGTCAGCTACTGCGTCAGGAATAGCGGAAGTCAGCCTGGGCGGTGGACAGACTACCAAGGAAAGCCAACCAGCTGCAGAAGCGGCTTCCAACGGTATAGAGGAACAGACCACAGCGTCTTCTCACGCCGGAACGGAATCGGCTCCTCTTGTAGACCAACAAAATAATCAACAGAGCTCCTTGACGCCTGATACTGCTGGCCAGGTCGGCGATGCTTCAAGCTCAGCCCCACCCGCTTCCGAATCGGCATACGCCCAGCCAAACGATGGTGATGTACCTCGACAGTTGCATCCAGACGTTCAGATTGATTCTAATGGTCAACCCGTCGTTGGTGACTATCTTAAGATCATGTTCGTTGAGAATCGGGTAGTACCGACTATCTTGGTAAGTCCGCATGCAAATTGTGTGTTACGGACAGTTTCTGACTGATATTTCTTAGGACTTCTTTTTCCGATTCCCGTGGAACAACTTCCTTCACAACGTCGTCTATGATGTTGTCCAACAAGTGTTCAACGGTCCCATGGACCGCGGCTACAATCGTCTGCTGGCCATTGACGTTTTTGAGACCGGCCGCATCACCCAGAGCATTGTGGAAGGCCAAAAGCGAAGTGATGAGGCGCAGCGAACCAAACAGATCCGACTAGGATATATGGGCCACTTGACCTTGATTGCCGAAGAGGTTGTCAAGTTTAGCGAACGGCACCCGCCCGAGTTGCTTTCCCCTACAGTCATGGAGAATGTGCTGAATCCGGAGTGGATAGACTATGTTGAACAAACGCTTTCTGAAACCAGGGAGCGTGACAACGCCATTCTTGGCGGGGTGCGCCCTGACATGTCGATTGGACATCGCCAAGGCATGCTCAATTCTGGCCAGAGCGCGAACACATCATCGGCGCTTGCTGAAGCTGGCTTGAATGGCTCCGTGGGAGGCTCCGGGTTCCAGGGCTTTGACATGATGAACCAAGGAAGTGTTTCTGGCGGAGCTTTCGGGCTAAACAGCGGGAATTCCCTACTCAGCGGATTCGCTAGTTCCAGTGATGACGATGAGGACGAAGAAATGGAAGATCAAGATGATCGGAATCTTGCTGAGCCTTCCGCTGAAGGCGGCTCTGACAATGTGGGTCATCACCTTTTCACTGATGTCGATATGCGCGATGCTTGACGCAATCCCGGACATCCCTCTCTTCCCTACCTTTCCCCTTCTTCTTCTTCTGCGGCCATCTTTGCATCATTTGGTACACCCTGTGTTGGTTGATCTTTCTCTGGATTCGGGCCTTGGGCTGGTATACATTTCATGCTGCGGCTGGGATAGCGCATGATGGACAAGAGGAGCGATGGAGGTCGTGAAGGGCCTTGCACATAGAGCGTTCTCCAGCGCTTTACTTTACGTATGAAGTCATTCTAAAGAACTCCTGCTCCCCGCTATCATGTTGCAACTCTCTGGAACTAAGCATGTGCTTGCCGGTCACACCAGTAGTTTCTTTTGGCTTGCCGCCTAGGTGTTGACGTCGCTTTTGATGTATCCCTAACCCGATCCTTCGCTTCACGCATTTACCTCGTCATCTACTATCCTATTTAAATGGAAGAGAGCCTGTGGACTAACTAAAATGTGATAGGCCTCTACCAACTCTACCAGCCAGCCAATCCCGATCCTCCCCCCACCTCCAGCACCGTTGAGTCAAGGTCCGTCTCGCGCACGCCGGCAGCTAGCAGCCCGACTGGCTGCCCATAAACAACAGGCCGCCGAGAATTCCGAGGGTGGTGAAGATTCAAGTAATAATCAGCCAAGCGAACATGATATGCAATGGCCCACCAATCCATTCGTGATTGCCGGCTTGGACGAGGATGCCGATGGCTCCAACTCACCTGCCAGTGCTGCCTTCCCCTCAACTGATTTCCCCCCTGCTAGCAAGGATGAGCCCTTCTCATCGCCTACATTCCCGGACTCTGGATTCAGCCCCCCCGACTCGTTCTCGACCAACTCCTCCGACGAGGAAGGAGAAGGTAGATCGGAGGGCACGAGACGCAAGGAACGGGTTCCCCTGGAGGTTGATGAGGAGGACGACATGGGGGAGATGGTAGGGCCTTCGCTTGGGTCGGGCATGATGGACTCGGACGAAGAGGATGAGGCCATCATGAACGAATCCCTGGGATATCCGGATATCGCCTCGGGGCGTTACAGAAGCTTCGGTCGATCTCGGATGGGTGCCTCACCATTTGGCGATGAAGACGACAGTAGTGATGGGGAGGATGACGGTTTAGTCGAGATTCTCGTCCCTGGGAGGAAGGCTTCCACTTCGTCCACATCATCCCATTAGTTTGCACATGATGCTTGATGTCCCTTTCTGTTATGTATGCAACGTTTTCCAACTTTTTTTATCTTTTTATTTTTTTTTGGCGGTACTCTGATTGATTCTGTTCCCGGCCTCTTTTTTTTCTGATTTTCATCTTTTGCTTTTGGATTAGTTCAATTCCCATGATGTACACTATTTGATCGCATGGCAGTTTTGTATATGCTCCGGTTCATGATTGTATACCTCAACGAGTGGACCAAGCGAAATTCCGGGCAATAAGGATTGATCTGAATGATTGTGTTTACAATGATGTTGCAGAAAATGGCTCGTAGAGATAGATATGCCTTGTGTTGATGCGGGAGGGAAAGTGGGACGCCGCATTCAATCTTTCCATTCCTGCCTTCCGCACCTGCCAGAAACCCACTTTTCGCTTTTGCAACTTTCGTCGCTCGGGGGAACTGAAGCAGTACCAGGGATTTACTCGAATCTTGCAGTACTCGAATAATTCATAACGAGTAGTATTCCTTCCCATACTCTCCTTCGCGGCCATGGCAAGTGCGCCGTCAGGGCCTCCGAGGTAAGCGATTTTCCCTTATTATTTTCATGGCTATCTCCGCGATGACGTTTTCGGGTTCAACTCGGGGCTGCAATGCGTTTTATGCCTGATGCTTTCATGGTTCATTTATCGCCTCAACATATGCATTATTCCCGGTCCAAGCTATCTGCAGAACGGAAGTACATGCATAATACCAATGAAACACATCCTCAAGCACTATGCATGATATATGGCTGTGAAGCATGGAACTCACTCCTCCCCCACCATCCCACCATCACACTGCCCGCATGCCCACTTCACGATGCAAAATCCAGAATCTGACCAGTAGCTCCTAGGTCTGGAGATGATGACAGTCTACAGATCTACTTCGATCTGCTCGATTGGATGGTCAACAATGGAGGGCATCTGCACGAGAGCGTCCAGATAGCCAAGGATGAAAGCCGTGGTGTTCATCTCCAAGTTAAAAAGGATTGGAAGAATGCTGTCCCCACCGACACACACATCATCAAGACGCCTTTGGCTGCGACAATGTCTTACTTCAATGTCGTTAGTTACACCGCCGACTCTGTCTCTTTTTCAGCCCATGGCCTGCATTTCCCACAGTCGTTTGTTGACGCTGTCGGAGAAAAGGAATCAACTATCTTCTTCCTAATCGGTCAGTATCTCCGAGGCACAGAGGGCTTTTGGTACCCGTATATTCGGACGTTGCCTCAGCCTGGCTCCTTGACTACTCCTCCTTACTATGAAGGGGAAGACCTGCAGTGGTTGGATGGCACTAGCTTGTTGGCAGCTAGGGAGAAGAGACTGGAGGTTCTGAAGGAGAAGTATGAGAAGGGTTCGACCGAGCTGCGCAATGCTGGGTTCGAAGGTGCTGATGCGTATACATGGTAGGTCAATGAGAGTATTCCTTCAGTTTCAAGTCTGGATTAAGAAGCGGCATTGACAACAGCGATGTGTTTTCAGGGACCTCTATCTGTGGGCAGCTTCAATGTTCATTTCGCGTGCCTTCTCGGCGAAAGTGCTGTCTGGAGTCTTTCCTGAGACAGATCTGTCAGAGGAGAAATTATCTGTCCTTCTGCCCATCATCGATATGGGAAATCATCGTCCGCTAGCCAAGGTGGAGTGGCGGGCTGGTAAGGACGATATTGCCTTTGTGGTCCTGGAAGACGTGTGGGCGGGTCAGGAGATCAGTAACAACTACGGACCCCGGAATAACGAGCAACGTAGGTGTCCCCTAGTTTCTCCATAGATTAGCGACTGACGTAAAACAGTTATGATGAACTACGGTTTCTGCATTCCCGGAAATCCTTGCGATCACCGCATTGTCAGTTTACGAGCACCGCCTGGAAGTCCCCTCTACATGGCAAAGTCCCATCAGCTGCAGATGTATCCTGACCTTGCTGGTGGGGAAACGGAAGATCACTACTACGTCTTCAACGTGTTCTACCCTCTCCTCGCTCCTGACATGTCAATGGAGCATTCCATCTTCTCACCTGCCCTGCTTGACGCCGTGTCGGTCCTGGCTGCCAACAATCGGGAATTGGAGACTCTGGAAATCACAAGCCAAGGGATCAAGATCCCAAATGCCTACGGAAATTCTAGGGCCCTGCTTGCTGCCTTGAGTCAGGTTATTATTGAGGTCGTCACACATGCTGCCAAGCTGAGGTCTTCAGGGGAAGACCTCCAGACACCGTCAAACCTCAAACAGACTCATGCGAAAGTCTACCGGGACAGTCAAATCATGTTGTCCGAGACCGCTCTAGTTGTCGCAGCATGGACACTGGGCCGTGCGCGGCAACACAACTTCACCGGGACCTGGGAGGAAACCAAGAGACTTCTTGGGGCCCATATGGGCCGGATCCCCACCGGAAAGTTCCCGGATGAGGTGTTCTCGCGGCTGCAAGTGCGGATTTTGGAGCGGAAGTCTCTCCTTACAAACAACGGGGAGTTGTTCACGCTGGGTGAATTGCCTAACCTTCTCCCAACGGCGATGCAGCAACCTTGCAAGGCCTGCTTCCAGGACATCTTGTCGGTTTCTGAATCTGCTATCCCAATGCTAAGAGGCAGTGGTGGGTCGTCGCCCTTTGCCTTCCCGATGTTCCTTTGCCTGGTTGCGGCAGCCCACACGGCTAGCCAATCCAGTGCATCAGAGGGACCTCAGCTCCCTCCCAGACTGTCCAGATGGGCGAGCTTCCTCCTAGAGAGTTACCCGCCGCCCCCGAATGATGTGGCCTGGGCCTTGGAGGACGAGGATGATGAACACATTGTGAGTCTCTTTGACGAGGCCCTGGAGAAGATGAGGACACAGAATGCAGGTGTCTTTGAAAGTCTGGCTCCGTATACAGGAGACTGGCAAAAAGACGACTGGTGGCTGTCGCCCAATTGGTTGCGATGGGGATGGATGATTGGGGAGCAAGAGTGTGTGCAGATTCCTGAGGATCCACTGCAGTTTTTGGCGACTGAAGGTGGGGGTCAGGTGAGACTGATGACGGAGAACTACCTATATGTGCCAGGGGAGGCATCTGAGTAGGCCGATGAGACATGGATATAAAGACTTAAGTAGTGCTACCAATAGATAAGCCGTCCATATAGAATCGAATCAAAAGAACGAGTAGATCTGTAATGGTTAGTCAGCGTGGATCAGGTGACCCCACCTGACCAATCAGGGAGGAGCGAAAGGCGGATATTCAGCAAGCGCAGGAATTGCCGCGACGGGCAGCTCAACCCAAACCACGCCTGCCACGGCTTGTCGTTCATCCTCGAATCTCCCACCTTTCCTCCCCCCTCCTTTCCCCCTCCCAAGTCAATTGGGCCAGTGTTCACCATGATATCTCGAGCGGCGGCTCCCTCGTCTTCCATCGCCTCCCTCTCCTCCCGCTCCCTCCGAGCCCAGGCCCCGGCCGCCCGTTCCTTCGCGACCGTCCAGGACAACGCCCCCCCGGTCAAGCACTATGGCGGTCTGAAGGACCAGGATCGGATCTTCACCAACCTCTACGGACACCATGGAGCTGATCTGAAGTCGGCGATGAAGTATGGTGACTGGCACCGGACTAAGGATATCGTTCTGAAGGGCCATGACTGGGTAGGCTCTGCCCCTTCGCTGGTCCATTGGACCCGGAACTGCGGGAAGATCCCCAAATGATTCAAATGCTGACCTGAAATGTGTTCGATCTGTGCAGCTTATCTCTGAGCTGAAGGCCTCCGGTCTTCGTGGTCGTGGTGGTGCTGGTTTCCCCTCCGGATTGAAATACGTGAGTTATCCTGACCGAGATCAATTGATGACATAGCCAGTCTTCCGGGCCCAGTCTAACTTTCTCAATCGATGTGGTAAAGTCCTTCATGAACTTCAAGGACTGGGACAAGGACCCCAGACCCCGTTACCTCGTCGTCAACGCCGATGAGGGTGAGCCCGGAACCTGCAAGGATCGTGAAATCATGCGCAAAGACCCCCAGAAGCTCATCGAAGGTTGCCTCGTCGTCGGCCGTGCCATGAACGCCAACGCCGCTTACATCTACATCCGTGGTGAATTTTACCAAGAAGCTACCGTTCTCCAGCGGGCTATCAACGAGGCCTACGAGGCTGGCCTGATCGGCAAGAACGCCTGCGGTACCGGCTACGACTTCGACGTCTACATCCACCGTGGTATGGGCGCCTACGTCTGTGGTGAGGAGACCTCCCTCATCGAGTCCATCGAGGGTAAGGCCGGCAAGCCCCGTCTTAAGCCCCCGTTCCCCGCTGCTGTCGGTCTCTTCGGCTGCCCCAGTACCGTCACCAACGTCGAGACTGTCGCCGTCACCCCCACCATCATGCGTCGTGGCGCCAGCTGGTTCTCGTCTTTCGGCCGTGAGCGCAACGCTGGTACCAAGCTTTTCTGTATCTCCGGACACGTCAACAACCCCTGCACTGTCGAGGAGGAGATGTCCATCTCCCTCCGCGAGCTGATCGACCGCCACTGTGGAGGTGTCCGTGGCGGCTGGGACAACCTCCTCGCTGTCATTCCCGGTGGATCCTCGACTCCCGTCCTTCCCAAGACCATTTGCGACGACCAGCTCATGGACTTCGACGCCCTGAAGGACTCTCAGAGTGGTCTCGGTACCGCTGCCGTTATCGTCATGGACAAGTCGACCGACATTGTTCGCGCCATCTCTCGTCTGTCCACCTTCTACAAGCACGAGTCTTGCGGTCAGTGCACTCCCTGCCGTGAGGGCAGCAAGTGGACCATGCAGATGATGCAGCGTATGGAGAAGGGTCAGGCCCGCGAGCGTGAGATCGACATGCTCCAGGAGCTGACCAAGCAGGTCGAGGGTCACACCATCTGCGCTCTGGGTGAGGCCTTTGCCTGGCCCATCCAGGGTCTGATCCGTCACTTCCGCCCCGAGCTGGAGGCCCGCATCCGGGAGTACTCGAAGGAGGTTGGTGGAAACGGACCTTACGCTGGTGGTTGGCACCCGGAGGCCCGCGCTGAGGGCAAGCTGATCTCTCCTGGCATGTAATTACCATAAACCTGTCTCAAATCTCTTTCTCTCTCTGTGTGTGTGTACGACTTCCACTATGGGATAAGAATAGCTTCGCTCGCGACACCCTGCAGTTCGTCAGGAATAGAGCAACAGGGCAAGCGAGGGAGGGAAAAAGAAACAAAAAGAGGGAACAGAGAAAAGAGAAGAAGTTAATCTTTGCCAAATTTTTCTTTTCTTTTTCTTTCGATTTCCTAGAGGGAGTGTGTGTTCTTTTCCTTTTTACCCCTTGTCTCCCACCCATCTCATATTTTCCTTTTATATCTTACGTGTCGTGTTAGGTTCTCGATCATGTACAGTCCTGGTAGCAATTGAACTTTTTCTTTGATTTATTTTTTTCTCCTTCGAGGGATGTAGACTGTATAATCGTTTAGTAGCGGAGAATAACCGTAGGAGTAAGAGTAAGAATGGCCAAAACGAACACAAAACTACTTAACATAACTGATTAGTCTAGGCACTAGAATTTACCCACGCCCATACGATAATAAATCGACTACTTTACCAACTTACCAAGAATGCGAATCAAAACCAAACAGTAGTCAGCACCTCTCTCCTCCATACTACCAACCAACCAACCAAACAAATAGTAGTAGTAGTAACCTATCTATAAAATATAAATTAAACTCAAATACCATCATAATTGACAGACACATCACCCACTCAATGAATCCAACCCTACAATTCAGATATTGGTTCATACACGCACTATCATCACCCACCACAAGACTACTATACTCAATCACTGCAGGAACCAACCAACCAATACACTAATTAGTTACATTAATATCCCACCGAAATGTACGAAGATACATAGATATCTGGCAAATTAATTCATTATATAAATATATATTTTCTTAGTTGGTTGACTGGTCTATTGCTGGCTTTGCAGGTTATTTGACTAGCTAGTTAGTAAGTAGTGGGTATTGGATTTGACTGGATCGATGGATACGACCTTCGTGCTGCCTTGGTGTGTGGCTATGTATTTATTTAAGTGTTTACTGGCTTTTGCTTTCTCTCTCGGTCATATTAGAGTAAAAAGAGAGTATTAAGGAGAGGAGAGTGGAAGGGAAAGGGGAGAGGGAAATTCAGAGAAGAGAACCTTTCCTGTATTGAGACCGGTGTGTGCGTCATTATCATCGGCAGCAGAAGCAGCCATCAGATGAGGTCTTTCTAAAGGTAATCAAGTCTAGGTTACCTCCTCATAATTAGAGGAAGTACTGCTACTCTGGTGGACATGGATATGTGATGATTACTTTGCGCAATTACTGTTTCGTTCACAATGACCGGCTAGCTAACTTACACACCCGGAGTTCTGCGCCCTCTGCAAAGTCCGAGGACGGAATGCATCCAAGAATCACAGAAAGAAAATAGAAAAAGAAAAAGACGAACAAAAACAGAGAAGTGAAAACAGTATCTAAGTTACACAATGGCTGCATGTCGTTCCGTCAACCCATAGACACAAAAAGATGCGAGATATCAAAGATTCAGCATCAAACTAGTACTCGGTATGCTGCATCCAAACAACGGAGTCCCTTCCACCCAAATTCCCGAAATCATAGATCAATAGCCCCCAGCCATGATGAGACTGTAGTACCGCCGACTCATTTCCGCCGTCTGTGCAAGGCGTGCATCGCCCGTCAAAGGTAGACTGAGCACGCTGGACAGCTCGATTGCCTGAAGTAGTACTTTGTCAGAACCAGAATCTTCGCGAGGCATGTCAGTGGAACAACATACCTTTGAGTCCTCGTGCCCAGTCCAGGTGGCAACCACGCGACTCATTTCCCGGAAGGCTACACGCTCCTCTAATCCTTCCACACCCGATCCCTGACTGACCTTCTCGCCCATCTTCACCAAGGCACTGACTAACCGGGCAAGCCGGGTAGCATCGCGCTTACCGCTCCTGGCCGTAGCCAGGCGCAGGAAGTCGTCGTAAATGCCACCACCACTGGCCCAGCCGCGCACCTTGCGCTCAGGCTCCTCGCCAAAGCCCGACACCAGCATCTCTAGCGTGCTATAGTCACCCTCAATCACGGCTGTTGGCGCCACAACACGACAGAACGTAGCGTGTGCATCGTTCCAGTTCTTGCCACGGACAAGATAATCCACTTCGCGTGCCGCATCACCCGTGTCGCGAGCATAAAGCGCCTTCGAGACCCAGATCCAGCTCTCAGGCAGCTGAAGATCCTGCGTGAGATAGTGCCACATCACATTGGTTTGGCCGTCCGAGGTGACCGGCTCCGGCAGTTGGGGCGCAAATCGGGCGAGAGTCTCCTTCACAGCACGCTCGCGATCCGATGCGTGCGAAAGGTGGAGGAGGACGAACAATGCTCGGTTCAAAGTGCCACTGCAGCAAAGCTCCCAAGCATAGTCCCACACGAGCTGGTCCATCTGGGCTGTGTTGACTTGGAAGCTTTCGTGTCGCCCAATGGCTGCCGCAAGAAGTTGACAAAGCTGGAAGGACAGCCGGCTTGACTGCTTATCCCCGCTGACCGACTCAGGCAGGAGAACGGCCGGGAACTCCTGCGGATGGAGATTGGCCGTCCGAGAAGCTCCACCAGTTGTCGTGGCATACACTTTCAGCAAGACCCACAGAGGAGATTCGCGATCAACGATGTCTTCCTGATTAAGAGGCGTCGGAAGGGCCGGCTCATTCCCTTCGTAGAGGTCATCCACGAACTGGCAGACGGCGGCTTCGATGGGCTCATCGTCGGTAATACCATACCAAAGACGAAGGCCGAAAGCCTGGAACCAATCCAGCTCAAATCGCTCAGAGAATGTGAAAGTAGAAAGACGATCCTCCAGCGCACCAGTGGATTTACCTTCGCTGCGAAGGGCGTTGCCGGCCAGAAGTTCGTACAAAGCTCTGACGGGCTCGCTCATTTCAGAATACACATTGTTCTGGCGCCACATTTCAATCTGTTTTGCCATATCAGTGCGCGTCGTGGGATCGCGCGCGATCTGAGCAACTAGTGTCGCGAGATGGAAATTCTGACTGGCAACCAGGACCTTGCAAGCCTCCTCGACCCGATGCGAGCATAACAAGTAAAAGGCACGCTCTTCGGCCGAGCTGGCCTTAGCCACAGCCTGTGCATGCTTTTCACGTACGATACCCTCCCACAGACGGGTCAGGCGGTCTTTCTTGATCCGGTGAATGTATTTGGAACGAAGCTTGGGTGGCACACCAGCAGAGATGTCATCCTCAGTCTTGTCGTTGAAGAGGATGTTGGCCAGCTGCCAGAGGAGTCGCTCGTGGTCAGATTGTACCAAGTTCGAAGCTTGCACGAATTCCCGGAAATCGGCCTTTGCCAGACGAGCAAAGGGAACCCCGTCAACACGTGAAACAGCAGTCAGCTTCCTCTGGGCATCCAGCATCTCACTCGGTTCCACGGGCGTGTTGAACTCCAAGAGAGCCACATCTCTTCCTTCGCTAGTCAAAGAGAGCTTGTGCCTCCAAGCGCTATCCCCCGCCTGCACGTCCGCCATATCATTCTTGACGCAAAGAAGAGAGTTCAGCGTGCCCCAGCGCGGCTTGAATGAGTGATGGAACGCAAGGTCGTCTTCGCTTAGCTCGTGGGATTCGCCAGCAAATGTCTTGGGCTTCTTGTTATAAGGCCACTGTAGGGACAGATGGTATTAGTTTATGCTATTGATAAATGATGGTTCGCAGTGCTAAGACATATTGTATCGCATCGCTTCCTACAATACAACTTCCAATAGTGATAATAGAGGGCTATTAAAAAAAAAAAAAAAAAAAAAAAAAAAAAAAAAAAAAAAGGAAAAAAAAAAAAAAAAAAAAAAAAAAAAAAAAAAAAGGAAAAGAAGGGGTCAAACCTCGAGACCATTGGGCCGCACGCTTTGTGCCTTCAAAGGAGATGCGGCCTGTTGTTTGCGCGGTTGCTGAAACAAAGAATTCATCAAATCGATGCTGGTGGCGAAGCCCTTTTGCCTGGTATCGGCGGCAGATGGCTTGGGGGTGTCCTCACGGAGGGACCGATCGGTGAAGGCATTGGCTTGGATCTCACGAAGTGCATCGCGGTCTTGCTTCCGGGGACTTATGGTGCGTTGCAAATGCTCGGCCCAGTCCCCAGTCAGATCGAGACGAGGCTTCGAAGGCGTGTTCCAAGGCTTCAGTATAGGCTGGGTGGTCTCCATAAAGGTATCGGTACTTTGGGTGTCGTCGCGCTCCACGGTAGGATGGAGGTCTGGAAAGGTGCCCGCCATGTCCATTTCCTCGCCCTCATCCAATTCGACTAGTGACTCGCCAGAATGTTGGCTTTCGGTGATATCATCGCCGTCTTGCTCAATAGTCGAACCCGTGGAGCCTTCCCCTAAAAAAGACTCCTCGTCGTCTCCAGAAACCGAGCGCTCGTCCTCAACCGTCTCCATCATTTGGTTGCCAAACGCACCCGGAACAATCTTACGCTTTTTGAAATCAAAGGTATCATCGTCGACGCCGGCCATGGAACCCACAAAGGAGTCATCAGTGGAGAAGGCAGACATCATCTCCGAGCCCATAGTCGTATCGGGGTTGGCGGGGGTTTGAGCCTTCGGAGTCGGAGTGTCAGGAGCAGCACTAAAAGTGCTTTGGTTGAGGCTCTCACCTTCTTCTTCCTCGTCGCTATCATAATCAAGACCATAGGTGGTGTAATGGGGCACCCGGAACACCCATGTGCCGGTCTCCTTTTCGTAGTCCACAAACTCGGTGTTGTGCACCTTTATCAAGCGGTCGACGTGCTTATCAAATAGAGGGCCGCTGGTGAGAGGGGAAGGTGACTTCTTGTCGCGACCCCGAGGCCAAGAGTTTTCGATGCGAAGGGTGGAGGGAACGTTCAGGCCCTTGCCCCTGGGGGGCTTGATGGTTTCATCCGGATAGACGGTGATCTTGCGCACACCGATGTCTACCAGGTCGCCGAAAATGCGGTCCAAGTCCACAGTGGTCAGATCAACGGGCTCATCGAACGTCACCTGACCGCACCTTTGACGACCAACGGTAAAGCCAACAAACTTCTTCTGCTGTTCTCGGCTCAGCTTGCTGATCTCCGCGCGGGTGGGCTTCATCCAGTACTCGCCCGGCTGCGGGTCCCCACCAGGAACGAAAGGCAGACGAGAGGGGCCCTCAGGAGTAGTTGAAGCCGTGGCCGCATTCTCGGGGACAACGGCGAGTTCATTACCACGAACAGACTCCATCTCAGGACGAGCAGAGGTCTCGGTAGGCTTAATACCATTGAGGCCATTGACGGTGTTGCTCTTGCGGATGGAGCGCAGGAATCCCAATTCCTCCGGAGTCGGCTCGGGGCTTTGAGACTGCACCGGAACGATTTCTCCTCCAGTGGCTGGCGTATCCGACGACGAATCAAAGCTGACCTTCTTCTTCATCTTGTCGGCTGGCTGTGCTGCGTCTTCGCCGATGGTGATCGGGGCAGCTGGGGTACTAGCTGGGCGAGCAAAGAGGTCATTCCTCAAGCTGCGATCGATGGTAAGACGCTTCAAGCTGCCGCTTGACAGACGGGAGCTGCCAGAGGTAAGTGCGCCGGGGGACAAGACGCTGTCGGTATCAGGGTCGAACGTCTTGCGCAGATTGCTGGTGGACAAACTCTTACTGAAGCTGGTACGCCCAAGACTTCCATTGACACTGCCACGTAGGCTTCCACCCAGCACGCTGCCACCAAGTCCGTTAGGAGTACCAGTAGAGCTCGAAGGTGAGCCATAGGTAGAGTAAGAGAACCCGTATCCCTGTCGTTTGGGGGGTGTAAGAAGGCGATTAGCAGCATTGGGGGTGATCTTATAGACAGGGAGAGGAGTCCGCTGCTTCTGCTTGGCGGCAGACGAAAGCGGCGTCGCCAAGGGGCCGGGGCTGGAGGCGCTGGGAGCTGGCAAGCCGGAGAAGATCGACTGGTTACCATAGGGGTTGCCGTCCAGAAGTGAGGCCTGCAAGCTACCAGGGGCCGGCTGGGACAGCTGTGCTTGCTGGGGCTGCGCTTGCTGGCTTCCGCCAAAAAGGCTGGAAGTACCAAGGCCCCCAGTCTGCTGAGGCTGACTCTGCGTGTTACCAAAAAGTGAACCGCCGGTGCTTGGAGTTGTAGTGCTCTGTCCTCCAAAGAGAGAACCACCGGTTCCAGTGCCACCGCCAAACAGACTCGGCTTCTGCTGTTGCTGGTTTTGAGCGCCTCCGAACAGGCCACCACCACCCGTCTGCTGGTTCTGAGTATTACCGAAGCCGCCGAATGCGCTGGTGCCGGTGCCGGTGCCGGTGGCAGGCGTGGTGCCGCCGAACAGACTCTTTTGGCCCTGCTGCTGGCCTCCGCCGAAAAGGGAGCTTGTGCCGGTTTGCTGGTTGTTTCCAAAGAGCGATCCACCAGTCGACTGCTGCTGTGGTTGCTGAGTGTTCTGGCCAAAGAGAGAAGAGCCAGTCGTGCCGGTGCCGGTGCCAGCCCCAGTATTGCCGAATAGACTCGGGGTGCTGGACTGCTGCTGCGTGTTTGAGCCGAACCCGCCAAACAATCCTTTGTTCTGAGTCTGCTGCTGATTCTGGGCTTGGTTCTGCTGGCCGAGTCCACCTCCGAACAAGCCGGTGCCGGTTTGCTGCTGTTGTTGGCCGCCAAAGGGAGAGGAAGTCGCAGCAGTACCGCCAAAAGGAGAGGCGGTGCTTGTGTTTTGCGCGCCAAAGGCGCCGCCAAAACCTGTGCCGGTGGAACCACTGTTTCCGAATAGAGGCTTCTGTTGTTGGGTAGTGTTATTCGCGCCGCCACCAAACAGCGATCCGCCAGTTCCACCAAAGCCGGTGGTTCCTGTGCCGCTTCCAAAACCACCCGTAGTAGTAGTAGTAGTAGTAGTAGCTGTGTTTCCACCAAAGAGGCCCGGCTGAGAAGTACCAGTAGTACCAGTTCCGCCCCCAAATAATGAAGTGGCCGGCTTTGCTGCTCCGAACAAGGGGTTGGAGTTGGTGCTAGATCCGAATCCACCCGCCGTCTGAGTCTGTCCAAAGGTCGAGGGAGCACTGGTCCCTCCTCCGAATGGCGTGGAAGTGCTTCCAAAGCCGCCGGTCGACTGTTGTCCAAAGCCGGATCCTCCAAAGGCCGATGTGCCAAAGGCACCGGCTTGGCCACTACCATTGCCGAACCTACGGCCTTGGTTGTAATCACCTAAGCGAAGCTCTTCAAAGGAATACTTGCTGTACGGCGCCATAAAGGTGATACTTTGGTAGTGATTCATCGCGGTGGTGTTGCCGTCCTTCTCAGTGAAGGGACTAAACGGCGTGCTTCCAGTGCCATCGGAGGGAGGAATGGCCTGCTGGAATGCAGTACCTGTTCCACTACCGAAGCCCGATGGGGTGCTGCCAAAGCCACCAGTGCCACCGCTTGTACCGAATGCACCACCGGTGCCAGTTGAGCTGCCAAAACCCCCGGTTTTATTGCCGAACAGGCCACCTCCAGTGCTAGCGGCAGCGCCAGTGCCAGTACCAGTGCTGCCGAAACCTCCGCCAGTGTTGGAGGACGATCCGAAGCCGCCAAATCCGCTACCACCAGCAGTGGCAGTCCCACTTCCGAAAAGACCACCTCCGGTCGAAGTTCCAGTACCGAAGCCGCTCGTGCGATTTTGTCCTCCAAATAGAGACGTCGATTGGTTCTGTGTGCCGGTTCCGAATCCTAGAATAAGAGAGAGCTTGAGTCAGTTTCGCTAATAAATCACAACAATAGACAGATCCTGGAACTTCTGATTAGAATCCATCCTTGGGCCATGGATCTCCGGCGGTCAATGGACGACATTTGATGTGAAGGCATTCTTCCAATCCAGAGACTTGTTGCCTTAGGAGCCAGTGGTGAGGGTCCTCGAAAACGCCACTTCGGTCACAAATCGGTGATCGAGCACAGGAAAGTCGAGGGGTCCGCCCCAAGGCACAGGTGGAAGAGAAAGGATCGCCAAGCCCACTGAGATATAGCCGTCAGGCACGTACCTCCACCGGAACCAAAGCTACTGGAGGTGTTTCCAAACAAGCCACCACCGGATGTATTACCGCCACCAAAGGGGGACGATGTCGATCCAAAGCCTAGATGACGGGGGAGATGCTGTCAGAGACTGTATTGAAGCTGCGATCCCTTCTCTTGCAGTGCTGCTGTTTTGCCCCAGTGTCGAAGCCATCCACAGGTAGTCGGTGATGGGAGGAGCCTCATAGGACGGTCGCAGCTCGACGTTCGGAACTACCAGCAAATACCGATCCTTTTGCACCGGAGAGTCTCAAGGGACGAGGTAAAAGGAAAAAAATAATAACCCGGGATAACCGAGGACGGGGATCGCAACCGAACGAAGACACCTACCTCCACCAGTACTCGTGCCACCGAAGCCAGAGCCTGCCCCGAAGCCGGAGCTTTGCTGGTTATTCTGTCCGAAACCTCCGAACATCTTGCTGAGTGATGATGCTTTAGATTAGGGAGTCATTCGGTTCGAAGGACGTCTGCGATCGAAGGTTGGAAGGCTCGGAAGAAGATCGTAAGAACGACGATAATTAGAGCTCCGTGTGAATGAAGATTTCGCGAAGAAGAGAACTGCAGCGCGCAAGCCTAGTAGAAAGCGACAACGTTGCGTAGAATTGGAAGGACGATGTCGACGCGCAGGTGAGCACAGGTGTTTGTTTTGAGAAGGGAAGAAAAGAAGAAAAAAAAGGTAAAAGGGTAAAAGTGACAAGAAAAGGCCACACTAGCTACAGACGGAAAAGTACCGTCGGAGCTAGTAGGTGAGCAAGTCTGAAGGGAATCGACTTGAGTGACAGTCGGGGAAATAATGACGAGGTGAAGTAGAGGGAGGAGGACGCGCGACGGTGGTCGAGGGAAGAAGCTGCGAGAGCCAAGGAAGAGAAGAGAGAGAGGGAGAGCGACGGCAGGTTCCCTTCCTGCCTGACTGGCTCGTTGCTGTCGCTTAACTATGGGAAAGGTCGGCCATGTCAGGTATGGTACGGTCACGGTCACGGTGTGACGGGGCGGTGTGCTCAGTGAAGTGGGGAATGGGACCGAATGGTCTGGTGTTGATACCGTTACATTACCACAATGGCACGTGATGCGACGGAGACTGAATCGGGAGCCCGACCGGGTAGCCAAAAGAATACTAACACTGGGATGTCTGCATCCCGATAATCATAGCTGTGGCAAGATTCCACCACATATGCAGCCTGGCTACATTATACATTATGTTAGCTCCCCGGTGTATGCTTGAGGAGCCCGAACCCCGGATCAGTGTATCGGTCCAATGAGGGACTGTTCCCAAGGTGTCACCCCGGACGTTCCCAATCTAGTAGTGGAAAGGGACCCCGACAACCGCTGTCATGTAAAGGAACAGCCCATACTACATTTAAGAACAAAAGAACATTACTATGAAGAATAGAACTTATGTATATTGAAAAGGTGATCAGCGACCACCCATAATGTTCATCTCTCAAACACGTTGGGAATCACGAAACGGGGTTTATAGGAATATGACTGCGCCTCCGGACAATTGTGTCCACCCAATAATGCTAATCAACTCATCATAACATCCTGATTAATCGCTTTCATTTCATGGCTGTGAATATCGCTCGTCTTGGATTCGGTTCATTTGAAGATCTTATTTGCCACGGGCAGCGTGCACCGTGGCAATGATCTTGTCAACAACCGAAGGGTCCGACAGCTGTAAGATATTTAGTTAGTTTCTGCATACCCAGCATAGGCAAGAGTAGTTGTAATCTTACAGTAGAAGTGTCACCCAGGCTGTCCTCCTCGCCGCTCAGGATCTTCCGGAGAATACGGCGCATGATCTTACCGCTACGGGTCTTGGGGAGATCCTCGACAACGTAGACGGCCTTGGGGGCAGCGAAAGGTCCGATGGACCGACGAACCTGCATGATCAGGTCCTTGCGGACCTGGTCGCTGGTCTCGTTGCCCTCTTTCAGGGCCACGAATGCGTTGACGGCCTGACCGGTAAGTTCGTCGGCAATACCAACGACAGCAGCCTCAGCCACCATGTCTATCATAACCGATTAGTTGTTATTATATATATATATATATATATATATATATATATGGATGATCATTGCGGTAACTTACGGTGCTCAATGAGGGCGGCTTCAATCTCAGCCGTGGACAGACGGTGTCCGGAAACGTTGACCACATCGTCAACACGACCCCGGATCCAGTAGTATCCGTCGTGATCGCGGCCTGCACCATCTCCAGTGAACTATAAGCGCCCATCAGTCAGCAACTGTCCATTGAGCATTTGTTTTGAATGTCGCTTACGTAGTAGCCCTTGTAAACGTTCAAGTAGGTATCCATGTAGCGCTTGTGGGCGCCCCACACGGTACGGGCCATGCTCGGCCAGGGTTGCTTGAAGGCAAGCACACCCTCCACATCGTTGCCAGTGATCTCCTCACCAGAGACCGGGTCAATGATGGCGGGCTCAATGCCAAAGAAGGGAAGCGACGCGCTTCCGGGTTTCGTCGGGGTAATACCACCCAGGGGAGTGATGACATTCGAACCCGTCTCAGTCTGCCAGTAGGTCTGTGGAAGCGCATTAGACTATCATTCCAAGTCAAGAAAAATCCAACAAGTCACTTACATCACAGATGTGGGCTTCTTCCTTTCCGACCACCTCGAAGTACCATTTCCAGACCTCGGCAGCAATAGGCTCACCGACAGAGCCCAGTACACGCAGGTGTGCCATCTTGTGGTGAATGTGCTCGTCGCCAGCCCGCTTCAGAAGTCGCAGGGCAGTGGGGGCGACGTAAAATTGGGTCACCTTGTGCTTCTCGATCACGTCCCAGTAACGGGAGAAGTTGGGGTAAGCCGGGGTACTCTCGAAGACCACGGTAGAGCATCCGAGCAGCAAGGGTGCATACACGACGTACGTGTGGCCGGTGATCCAGCCAACATCACCACCACAGAAGTAGCGGTCATCGTCGTGGATATCAAAGACATACTTGCCGGTCATGGCAGCACCCAGGAGGTAACCAGCCGTGGTGTGCATGACACCCTTGGGCTTTCCGGTAGAACCAGAGGTGTAGAGCAGGAAGAGGGGATCTTCCGAGTTCACCGGCTCAGGAGCAAGGTAGTTGGGGTACTTCTCGACCTCCTCGTGCCACCAGACATCACGGCCCTTGGTCCAGGGGACCTCCGCGCCGGTGCGCTTGTAGACCAAGACGCTAGTGACATCGGGGCACTGCTTCAGGGCTTCATCGACAATGCGCTTGGTGCCAATGACCTTTCCTCCACGCTTGCCCTCATCGGTCGTGATGACGACCTTGGAGCCAGCGTCCAGGACACGGTCCCGGAGAGAGTCGGACGAGAAACCGGCGAAAACAACGGAGTGGACGGCACCGATACGAGAGCAAGCCAAGAAAGCGACAATGGCCTCCGGAATCATGGGAAGGTAGATAGCAACGGTGTCACCCTTCTTCACACCCTGCTGGCGGAGAACCCAGGCCACACGAGACACCTCGCGCAGGAGCTCACCGTAGGTGATTGTGCGGCCCTCGCTGGGCTCATCGGCCTCGTAGATAATGGCGACCTTGTCGGGGTTCTTGAAGGCATGGCGATCGACGCAGTTGTAGGAGGCGTTCAGACGACCCTCGACAAACCAGGCATTGTCGCCATTCTCCAGCGACCCACTGTGGGTGGTCTGGAAGTCTTGGTCGAAGTGAAGAAGTTCGCGGGCCATGCGAGCCCAGAAAGTGTCTGGGCTGCGGATGGACTCCTCATAGAGCTTCTTGTACTCGTCAAGGTCTTTCAAGTGGGTACCTGTCGGGTGCTTCTGGTGGAATGCTTCGGGGACATGGAAGGTGTCGACTTCGTGGGCCTCGACCACCTGAAACCGACGGGATTAGCACGGGGAACCGGCGATAACTCGGCCAAACACGCGCGATTTCTTACCACAGAGGACTTGGGGGGCATAACACTGCCGTCGGCCATGTTTTGTTGTGTCCCAACGAAACTGTGTGTTTGAACTGTGCAATGTTAGAATTGATGAGACACTCCAATTGAAAGGTAACTCTCGTTCTGTTGGGCAAAAAGACGAGAAATTCCATTCGTAGCGCCGGAGCGCACGTGAGTTTGCGGGCGCGGGGGATTAAGCTCACTTGTCAAAAGAATTGCAGCAGTGCTGGTTGGTGGGGTTCAGGCAAACTTTCGCGAGGGGGGGGAAAGAGAGGGAGAAGTGTAGGAGGGAGTAAGAGAGGAGGGAGAGAGAGAGGAGTAGAGAGGAAAGAGACTAGAAAGATTAGGAAGAAAGAGGAAGAGAGGGGGGAAAAGAAAGCAACTGGTGCCCAGGATGGGGAAGAGAGACAGTTATTTATTGAACCCAATGCCCGAACTAAAAAGAGAGATGTCCCTTTGAGAAAGAGAGACATTTATGATTTTAATTGTTGAGAGTCCCGCTCCCCCGGTGTCCGGGTGGAGGCGTTGCTACTTCAGGCTTGGTTCAGGCTTGGTACCGTCGTAGCTTCAATTTGGGCAAGGTTGTACTGCTCCCGGGCTGCTAAGGTACCTCCCCAGTACTACTTGGTTACTACTCCTACTTACTACTTACTTACCGTAATCCCCTTATCCATCCGTCCATCCTACCCCAAGTCTACCTTTCTTTCCCTTCCGCGCGACCGCGTAAGTATGATTAACCTTGTCGGTCCAGGGTTCAATCCCAATCCTTACTTTACTGGATCGGCTATGCAGGTTAACCTAGATCTTACCGGGTGTGAGTTCCAGAGCAGCAGTTTCCCCCCTCCTCCCAATTGTTCCCCTCCCTCATTGGGTTGAGATCATGATGCGTTTGGAGGCGCTGGTCTACTTCCCACCATGGACAATCCATACTTCTTACATACCTGACTAGTCATGCCTGTCGCTCTAAGCGCTTCTCCACTATCGGGAAAGCCACGACTACTGTAGCATATAATAATTTCAGAAAAAACAAAGAAACGAAAAAAATCCTATAATACTTATAATAAATGAACAGGGTGGGAGGAGGGAGGGGGGGGGAAGGACTGTTCTGGATGCGGGTCATTGATACTAAATGGAGGGACAGTCTTTTCCCGGCAGGCCCTCGCAATGTCACTGGATGGACGACCTCCTGCATTGGCGGCTGCAATCTCAGTCTGTCGCATTCGCTCGCACTATCCAAGACTAGTTCAGCGTAGTTCAAACGCGCCGCCAAAGGTTGGGCTCGGCCATGCGGGGCTTGACAGGCTCTCGTTTCCGTTGCTCCGGGGAAGGCAGTCGATGATCAACTAGCGAACAACCATCTTGTTATTTCCCTTCCCCCCTCCTCCCACTACACGGGGACTCCTATTCACTCCGGTACACTATTGCGACGCTCCCGTCTGCCAGGTGCTGATTGTGACCTTAGGACTGTAGTCGACTCGGTTCTTGTCCATCATTGGACAGCAGACTTATCGTCAATTGCCCACTAAGGTAATTCTCCCAGCAGAGGCAAGTTATTAATCCAGGTGGTCACGTCCGACAGCACTGTGCTCATTCGTAACCATGGTACGCCATGGCATGACATAGCACAGGGATATATTAGCGGCGTGATCCTGTGGCGTCCAGCCGACCAACATCATCTTCATCGGGCTCTGCCCCAGATTCGTTCACAAGCAGACGGGGGGTTGAAACTTTTGGGTTTCCGGGGGATGGCGGGACGGTATCACAAGAACACTCGCCAAGCACCCCGATCGGAGGGGTCAATTAGCACTGGAACGTGTCCATTCTTACTGCGAGGCTTGAACCGTGCGGGGGAACCAAAACCTTAGTCGTGCCCTTTGAATGGAACTGCTCAGAGTAAGATTTGGCAGGACCTTGGATGAGAGGGAAAGAGAGTGAGCGGATCTAGTACTCTTGGAGCAGTCTGATTTCTCAGAGAGCAATATGGGGAGGTGAAGTAGATAGTAGTCAAGCTAATCATCATTTAGCTACACAAACCACATGCACCTCAGAGATAGATCGCTGTGAGCATCCCCTGGACCAAGATACTACCTCGACCTCGGTGGGCGGTCCAATGAGACGCCTAGATCACTGGATGTGGTGCTGTTCGCGGAAGTTTCACTCAAGCCGGATTAGGGACCCCCTGTATGGCCCGCAGCCAGTGCCTGGAGGGCTGACCAGGAAGATGCAGTAGTTCAAAATACTAATTACGAGGGAGATAGGTAAATGGGAGGTCATCTTGCATTAGTGAGATATTGCCGGTGAACAGAACGTGGAAAAAGATGGCCTTGCAGAGCCGAGGCCTGATTCGAATGGATGTACTTTGCAGGCACACCCAGGTTACGGCTATCACAGGCATGAGTGAGTATATTATAGTCAGTAGCAAGTCAAGTTGGGAAGAGTGCTTGATAGTTATTGCTGTTGTTCATCCGCCATATCCGCAGAGAGGTGCCTTAGTACAGATATCCGTCAACGAAACAAAATGCCTCCCCCCTGACCTGACACTGTACATAATGATCATCACATTCCACGAAGGTGCATATTGAGTGGATAAGGAAGATGAATCTATGCCTCTGATTTATCTTTCATGTGTCCTGAAAGTAATATCCATTTCCGATCTTCACCCAGTATAATCCGTAGAAGGAATAAATTCAGGCTACGGAACGTTACGGCAGTACTTTCCCTAACGAGGAAGACTGTGACCCATTACGCCAATGAAGCTGCCCGTGACTTGCCCATCTCTCAACAATGCCGAAAAGGGGATTGTCTGCTATTTTTGCCCTCTCGGTAAAGACAAACTGATCAGCTGGGCTGGGACGAAACACTTTCCTCGACACGCGGGTCGAGGGACAATCGGGATAACCGTGGTACTGCTTGCTGGGGTTCGGCTATCGCTGCCTGGCTCTTTGCTCCTTCTCCCCGTTCCCGCGGACATCTCTCGGACCTAGGCTTTTGACTCTCTCCAGCTTCCCTGCACGGAGAACTGGAAGCTCTTACATCTTGTACCTTCGAACAGCCGAATATTCAGAACTCAAAATTCTGGAAATGGCATTGTCTGCTATGGCACATCTTTCATGGGGTGAGATCGACTTAGGACTGATCTCGCAACGAGAGCAGAGTCAAAACTCCCTAAGAGAGCCTACAAACACAACCCCCCCACCACAACTAAGGCCAAAGTACCACAGTTCCCTCAATTTGTGGGGAGCTTTGTGGGTGTGGCAGCCTTGATTGGATGTGGATTAGACCATCGATCCGACAAGAACGGTTTGTTCATGTTCATAATGCCATTACGGAGCAACTTCCACCATCAGGACTAGGAGCATTAATATTGTGGAGGCCGTCCGGCAGAATTCCGTTCAACTTGCGCAGGCCCCCATCGATACTCGGCTTGCTCCCTCTAACATGTAGCATCGGTCCGGTAAGGGAACCATACTCTTGCCCAATACTAATCAAGGATACATCGTCCCTTTCGTCGCTTCTCTCCCGTGAGTGATCTTCAATCCTTACTCCTTCGCGTCCGTGTGTGGTAATAAGGTGAGTGCGTTCGGGTCCCGGGTGTCCCGTTTAGTCCCTACCCACACTGCCGACTACAGAGCCCTCATGCTAATCGAGACCCTCCATCTGTTAGCAAATCAACGTCCTCAATGGTCGCCGGTGGCTCGGCCACTTCTCTTATCCCAGCCTCTAGGGAGCCTCCCGATACGGTGTCAAGCCCACCATACCCCCCGTTTCCGCTTATCATTGTCAATCAGTTATCTCGGTAGCCCCCTGCACGGTGTGGCGTATCTACAAGATATTGCATTTGTATAATTGCCTGCGTGGTTATTACCTGGACACTGCATTCGAGATGTACACCGGGTTACGTACCCAAACCGGTGAGAGAATGCGCCTTCTCTCAATACTCAGAAAGACCCGTTGTCGTCCTGCTTGAGCCCTACCTTTCTCAACCAGGACCCAGAGGCCGTGGCCTTTCCCGCCTGCGCTATAGTTTAGTCCCGGCCGCACTAAGCTTCTCGGTCCGCTTCTACCATTTCGACGTCTGAGCCCGCCGCCAGTCTTTAGTGGCCACTTTGCTGAGCCAACCGGTGTAGGCTCGGATGGTTAGAGACGGCGGATTTCTGGCCCGTCCTGCATCAACTAAACACGGCGGTAGGAAAGTCCGTCCCAATAGGCCCCCCTGCAAGTGCAAATTAATAACGTCTTGGCCCTGCCCGTTATTAATTTCCTTAGTTCACCCGATGGATCAGTACGCGTTGTGCTGTGGCCAAGTTCGGTGAGACATTGGTGATGGCTGCGAGAAGTTTTCACTTCTCACAGCTAATATCAACCTCGTTTCTGGGAGCGAGCGCACAGGCCAGTCGGAGTCCGGAGGAGAAATCAACCGGGCCAGAACCAAGTTCCTACTATGATAGTACAGGGTTGTAAGGGGGGACCAATATATCTCGCACGTAAGTGTGTCCCCTAGCCCACCGTACTTTTGGACATTTGCATTCAAGCACGTGGGAGCTGCGACTGCACTTATGCCGCTTAGTATAGTCGATGGCAAAAGAACCGCCCCAGCAAGCATCAGACGATCATATGTTATGTCAACAATTTTCACATGCAATATGCAAGAACTGCAAAATGTATTCATAAGCACAGCAGGAAACAACTATGCCATAATCCACAAGAGAAGGAAAGATACCCACGACCAAACCCAGTCCCCTGATCACTACAGAGTACTCCGTACTCCCTATCTAATTAGCCGTCCACTCCCGATGCCACCAATTCGCCATCCCAAACAAAAACAACACAATACTCCCATCCCTCGCAATATCTCTAACCAACTGCACCCACAACCCTAAACCCCCTCCCCCCCTCTTCATCATAATCCTCGCCCCAGTAAGCACCACCTCCCCCGTCGTAAAGAACAAGAACGGATTCCTCGCCGTCGCCGGCGGCGGCGGCTGACTCCCAAACGTCGCCACCGACGAACCAATTAACACCAACAAATACACCCCAATCAACACAGAAAACACCACATGCAGCACCTTCCACACCAGAATCTCCCGCTTCTCTTCATCACTCTTCTTCCGCGTCGCCTCTCCCAACATACTCGCCACAAATGGCGGAACTCCCAACCCCGTTAGTAAGTCCGCGGGCGATTGTCCTCCAGGCAGTGAGCCCTCGCCCAGCGCACTGGTATCCCCGGCCATTAGGCTCGAGAGAAGTTTCAGCGTCGGGTCGTCCGCTTCGCCGCCTAGACCTCCCATTCCTCCCATACCTCCTGGTCCTCCTGCTTGGGGTCCTGGGCTTCCGCTGGGTGAGTCGCCAGGCTGGCCAGACTGGCGGAGTAGGGCGCGGAAGAGCTCCTGCTGCGCTTGGAGCGTTTCGGGGTCGAGTTCTTGCTGTTGCTGGGGGGCTTGGCTTGGGAAGGAAGGTTGAGTGGTTCGGGGTTCGGGGGCCGGGCTTGGGCTCGGGCTGGGGCTTAGTGCTGTAGTGGTAGCTTGTGCTGCGGCCGGAGCCGGAGAAGGAGAGGGAGAGGGAGAGGTTTCTTCGCGGACTAATACGTAGCAAGAAGGATTTCGTTAGTTTCATTATCATATTATCTTTGTTCCTTTCGCTTAAGTTTGCATAAGGGAGAAAGGAAAAGGAATAGTGTGGTACATACGACTAGCAGGTGTCCGTCCACTCAAACTGGTAATCTTGTCTAGACGAGCTGCTCCATCGCCTTTGATTTTGGCTTCGCGGCGTTCGCGGCGCAGGCGGGCTGCTCGCTGGGCGGGGGATTCTTCGGCTGAGGACATGGTTCTTCCTCTTTTCTCTTCTCCTCCTTTTTTCATTCTTGTGAGGTTTGTTGGTCGTGTGGCTGTACTTCTCTCGTGAGATGTTTTGGGTGACGTAAGTTCAGTCGGTCTGGTTGAATTGTTTGGGCTGTTATGGCGCCAGCAAAGGTGGATGTCTTTCTGGTAAATTGTTAGGACGAATAGCTCTTTGAGAGCGATTGGAGATCGCTCCAGGGATTGAGGTGAATGTGGAGGTAAATGTGAATTGAGCCACAGATTGTTGCGGCGGCGGTGATCGGTGATTATCTGTGATGTGGTGGCCGCATAACGGACGGCACCGCTGGTGATGTGGTAGTCACGTGATGCTGGTGTATAGCTTCATGGGGTGCTACTTGTGGGGGGAAAGGGTTTGGGTGGCATTTGGGTGCTTGTGTGTAGATGTTATAGCTGTTCATGGTTTGAATCAGAGATTCTGGTTCATAGTAGTAGTAGTAGTACCATGGAGTGTGCATTCCGTGTTACCGTCAGTAAGTACTAGCTTAGGATGCTTAAATATATCTCCAATCTCCGTCCAAGCCTCCTAGATCAAGTTCGTTACTGAATTGAGGTACCAATAGGAAATGCTCAGAATATATCTAAAATGGAGTAGCAGTACAGCCAGTGTATTGATAGAAAGCATAGTAGTGTATCGATTAGTATGAAACTCAATGATGAGTGATCTTGTTGATATCTTGGCCTTGTATGAGAAGGATTCATAACCAAAAGCATTACCATTTGACATTGACTACAAGACCGATTGCTAGTAGGATTGATACATGTGTCTAAGGTAGAAGGACTTTCGTGATTCCGAAATGGCCGACCTTGCTTCATCTTTTCTAGCTCATCTGGACTGGCGCCCTTAAGAGTTTTCGGCCATCAAGGACTCGTTCTTTTCAGAGGCCTCATACTGCTGAGCAGGTAGCCACCCTTCTTCTGAGAGCCCGCCAAGTTTGTCCCGTCAGTGATTGATCAGTATATTCAGATTGTACCACGTTTGCTCACTTTCAGCCTGGTTATTAATATCTTATTTTGAGCATTCTATGGGGCATTGATGCAAAATCGAAGATCCAACAACGCGTCCGGGGAGGACAAGGCGCGTTTTTAATGAGAGGAATAGAGACCAACATCACTGCAGAACTAGGATTTGGCAATAACTGACCAAGAGTAAAGCTACAAGATCTACAATGGTTGTTCGCTGTTCCCAGAAGTCATGTATTTGCAATAAATCAAGATTGGGATCTCAGCAGTTGCCTGGGCAGTCAAGTGATGGATGTTATTGCAGCAATGATTATCTCACTGTAATACATGTTAAACTGACATCGTGAGTATTGCTATATCATAAAATTGTGGCTCAGTCGAGGTGCAGGTGTGCCTCTGGTGATCAGAGGCTAGTTAAGGTAGCAAGCAGCATGCTGTAGTTTCTAGTCAGGAATGGACTCACCACAACACCTGCTTCATGGGATAGCATGATCTGATCGAAGATCCTTAACTAATAGTAGCACAATCTATCATAATCACCAATTCTATTTATTATTGTGATCAACATTTGAGACACAAGGACTGGTTGACTGATTTAATTGCCTTCATGATGTTGGTATCATCCATGACATCATATCCTTCCGCCTCGAACATCTGCCCATCACGACTTTGAAGGGGAATTGCCTATGCATCGAGCATCAACATTCATCCCCATGCAATTTACCAATGAGGACTGCTTCTCAAAACCTTACCGATGATCATAAAACTCAGCTATTTCACTGTCAGCCTTATCTTGCTTTGCATCAACCTTCAAGTCCGCCATCCCGTAATCCGCGCCAAGCCCCGGATTTCCGCCGTGAATGACGGAAGGACAAGAGCAGTCCACTCAACAACCAGCCTCGACTTGCTATAGATCCAGCATGTGGAGAAAGTAAATAGACCGACATCAGATCCGGTCTGGATGTCGGGATGTTCCCCCAGCCCTGTGCCAGCAAATGGTCGGACGCGTCCGAGCTCCATTGGCAGCGCCTCCTCCACAATGACGTAGTCCAGTCTGGCAGGGCCAACCTTGACCTTCACTCTGACTTCACTTTACTTGGCTGACACTGCATGAGAGAGGTCTTGCAAGCAGATCTCCTTCCCTCTTATTTTTCTTTACTTTCTTCCCATATCAACAGCGGTCCCGGCTTCACGGAGCTAGGGATGATAACCCACTCACCTTCTTGCTGATAACTCCTGCACACCTGATCGTTACCCTCTTTATAAACCATGTCTCACGCTCAACCTGGGCGGGAGTCGCCCAAGACTCACCGTGTTGGGGAGCATTGGAGCGGGGCCAATCCGGTCCCGACCATCGACAAGTTCCTACAGCGTCTCGAGGTGGATAAACAAGAGCGCAAGGCTCATGAGGAAGCCCTGGCGGCCAAGCGGCGGGAGAGGGAGGAACAGGGAGAGGAAATGGCTCACAAGCCCCGGAAGACAACGGGAAAGACACGCATGGTGACCGATCCAACAACCGGCAAGGATATTGAAGTGGAGGACCTGGACGAGGATTCCATGGAAGCAGTGAAGGATCCGAAGGTATCCATGACCCTATTGGTAATGGTGGGACATGCGACTGACTGATGGTATCTATAGCTGGTTGTCCCAAATGCTAATCTTGGGAAGCCAACGGTGAGTCTATAAACCTAATCATTTAACGCTGGATGTCAGCTAAGAAACCCTGAAGGACGTCAAAACCGAACCCAACCAGAGCCTTTCCCAGTATAAAGAAAACCAAGATATCACCGCACCCCCGGACCCAATTGCAGAGGGCACCACGTCAGATGTTCCCATTCATGGCGAGAAAACCAACATCCTCTTTCATCCTACTCCGACTGTCACCTATAAACCTATGTTTGACAAGCTGGAAAGCCGTGGGATTGGTCTCTGCCTAGGAATTGTTGCTGCTATCGTCTTCGCTGGTCGGATTTTTGGCGGCTCACTCTGGGGCCTACTACCTCTAGCATTTGGAGTTGCGAGTGGCGTGTGGTTATGGATACAAGAACTTATTCGAAGCGGCCGGGAGATGGAATGGAGCAGTGAACAAATCAGAGGCCAGATGGTAAGTTTTCGCTCCCCGTTAGAGTACCAAGGCTTACATGCTACGCTATCAGGCTACTGCGAACCTCCTACCTGAGTCAGTCGAATGGATTAACTCTTTCCTTGGGGTCTTTTGGGGCCTCATCAACCCGGAGATGCTGACCCCCGTTGCGGATACCATCGAAGACATCATGCAGGCGTCTGCGCCAGGCGTAGTTGAGAACGTTCGGATTGCGGAAATTGACCAGGGAAACAATCCTATCCGGATCCTGAGCTTGCGGTCACTTCCGGATTCTCATGTCCAGCAACTCAAGGATCATATCCACGAGGAGAATGTAAAGAATAAAGACCCCCAGGAGGCGGCAGCTGCTGAGGAGGGCGGCAGCTACTACAACATCGAGGCCTCCTTTGCCTACCACTCGAAACCTAGCGGACAAACCACCTCGTCCAAGGCGCGCAACATGCACATGCAAATCGTTTTCTACCTTGGAATTAAAGGCCTCTTCGGCGTTCCATTCCCAGTCTTCGTGGAGTTGAACGAACTGGTAGGCACTGTCCGTGCCAGATTCCAGATGATGCCAGAGGCCCCGTTCATGAAAGACGTGACATTCAGTCTCGTTGGACTTCCTCACATCAGGGCTGGTTGTATGCCAATGGTCAATTGGGGTGTGAACATCCTTAATCTCCCCTTAATCTCCAATTTCGTCAACTATGCTATTGCTACTGCCAGCGGTCTATTCGCGGCCCCCAAATCAATGACTATGGATCTTAGTATGATGCTCAAGGGTGACGATATCATCAAAGAGACCCAGGCACTGGGCATCATGTGGATCCGGATTCATCGTGCGATTGGGTTGAGCAAACAAGACCGACGTGGAAGTCATGGCGGCGGCAGTGACCCCTACATCAACCTCTCTTTCTCCAAGTACGGCAAGCCCATGTACTGCACCCGAGTAATCACCGATGACCTGAACCCCGTCTGGGAGGAAACCGCGGCGTTGCTTGTAACGCCGGAATTGATCAAGGCTGACGAAGCTTTGAGTGTCGAACTCTGGGACTCGGATCGGACCACCGCGGATGACATCGTCGGCAAAGTGGAATTGCCCATACGGAAGATGATCCAACATCCGGGCAAGATGTATGCTCAGGTTTCCAAGCTCCAGGGCCTCAACGAGGGCAGTGAAATGCCGGGAGAACTGCACTGGGAGGTCGGGTTCTTCGGCAAACCGAAGCTGAGAGCAGAATTGAGGACCGACGGCAAGAAGAAGGACCTACCGGAGAACTTCAAGGACATTCCTGAGTTCCAGGATGAAAAGGGTGTCATCAGCAACGACCAGGAGGATGCCATCACCAAGACCCCACCAGATCCGCTATGGCCGAGTGGAATTATGAGCATCGTGGTCCATCAGATTGTGAACCTGGAGATTGAGAACGTCAAAGGCAGCCACGGTAACCGCAAAGGGAGAGACTATGAGCCAGCCAAACCGTATGGCGAGCAAAAAGAGGAGGTTGGAGAGAATTTGCCTACGAGCTACTGTAAAATCATCCTCAACGACGAGCTAGTAAGCCACCCTATACACCCCACTTACACCTTTTATGTCTGCATCTTGCCTAACATCTCCCAGATCTACCGTACTCGTGCCAAAGCCCTAAGCTCCAAGCCTATCTTCAATGCCGGAACTGAACGATTCGTCCGAGATTGGCGGTCCGCCTATGTTACCGTTAGCGTCCGCGACCAACGATATCGCCAGCACGATCCTATCCTCGGCGTGGTACCATTGAAGATCTCGGAGCTCCTCGAGAACAGCTCACAAGTGACCAGATGGTACCCTCTCACTGGCGGCATCGGATTCGGACGTATTCGCATCTCCATTCTTTTCCGGCACGTTGAGACCAGACTGCCCCCGCAAATGCTCGGCTGGGATGTCGGTACCTTCCATTTCGTTTCCGACAAGATCACCGTGCAGGGCTTCAACCATCGCTGCAAGATTCGGCTTCGCACCGGCGGCAGCAGCGGCAAGATCACTCGTCATGTGTGCCATGTCCAAGGATCTAACATGACCTACGACCTCTCCAGCGAGGACTTCCGGCGCGCCATTCGCCTCCCTGTCAAGCACCGCTACCGATCACCTGTCGTCTTCGAGTTCCAACAACAAGGCCACCATCACACAACCGCTTATGCCGTCTATTGGCTCCAGCACATGGCCGACAACGAAGAAACCCCCATTGACATTCCCATCTGGGTAACCAAGAACGGCAAACGACTCACCCAAAACTACATCACCGAGCAGAACTGTCACATCAAACGCAGCCCGGGCCTCGAGGACCTGCACGAGGTTGGCCGCCTGCAATTCCACGGCTTTTTCAGCCCCGGCATCGACGACTCCCACGAACAATACGTCATCGATAACGAATCCCGCGAGACGTTCGAAACCTGGGAAGCCTGCATTGCTCAGGGTGTCCGCGAACGCCGCATCTCTTCCGACATTCCCGAGGATCTCGAGAAATTGCACGAACAATCCCTCCTCGACGGCCGCGACATCCTCAAGCACGCCGAGCCCCGCGAACGCCGCCGCTGGATTGACAAGCAAGGCCAAGATTGGAGCGGCGCTTTCGGCCACGACCCCGGCGCCTACCTTAACAACCACGGTCACCAAGTTGCCGAACCGGGACGCGAGACACCTCCTCACGATCCGGTGAACCCGCCGCCCACTGTTGCCCAGTCCTACGGCACCATGCACGCTGAAGAAGCGCAGCACCAAAACTCCCAAGAACAAGAGCAAGAAGAGAAAGAGGCATCCTCCTCATCCAGCGAAACCGAGGATGACAACGACGATGATCACTACCCCCATCAACAGCAACGCGTCTCACAAAGTACAGCGTCCACTGGCGGCGGGAGCAGCAGTGTCGGGCCCCCCAGCCTCAACAGCATAGATGACGGAGCCCTGAAGAAGGCGAATAAACGCAGCGAGGAGCGTCAACATCGCGGTAAGATGCAATGGAGACCTGTTCGGAATGCAGTGTTTGCGCGTGATGAGGCTAAGTATTCGCTAAGGAAGGTGAAGAGGAAGTTTACGGGTGATTTGGCGGGTCGGGAGCCGGATATTGAGACGGAGACGGGGACTTAGATTAGGGTCCTTCGGGTTTCTGACATATGTGTATGCGTGTATGATTGGATGATAGGATGTGTATGTATAGTACTTAGCTCTTCATTTAGTATTTCATTAGTATTATATTGCATTGTCACAATTAGTGTGCATATGAAACGATCAACATAGTAGTACAATAGTAGTGCAGAATTCGGCAATTGGGGGTTATTGATGAGAATAAAACCTGACGCGTAGGAGGGAGGATCATCGAAATATGGACAAGATAGATCTTCTTGAAAAGCATTAACATGGAGCGTCTGATCATGCATATTGTCTTGTTGTATGTACTCGAAATATACTTCAGATTCGAGTCATACTAGACACGAAATCAAGCATCTCGGAGGAGGATATTCGGCAACTCCCTCTCATAGAACTGTTTGTTCAGCATCAGCGACCTATCCAACACCCAAAGACCTACGAAAGATCACTACACAGAAAAGAAAACCCAAACCCACCTTCGCATAAGCATCCCGCAACCGCATCTCCAGAAAACACCTGGACAGCATCGTCTCCTTCAACCAGAAGTCGTACAGTAGCCGACCATCTGGATCTCCGGAAGGGTTCAGAGCCCTCTCTAGCTCTTCACGCACAACACGCCATCCACCCTTCGATTCTAATCCCAACATGTATAAAAGGTGGCCCACATGCGCCTGAAGGAGCGAATGATGTACCGCGTGCCACATGCTATGTAAATCATCAGTAAGAGTGCGAGCACCGGGGGGAATGTCGTTGAGAGCATTCTCATTGTCGGCATGGCGAAGAAACGTAGGATAATGGATTCGGATCCCGTCAAAGTCCCGAATAGCGAATCCGGTTATCTCCTTGTTAGTAACGTTGACGCGGACGAGGACATTCTGGCTATGAGCTTCGATGCGGATTCCGTGGCGGACTAGAGGGGGGAGAATGAGGGAGAATAATTTAATAAGGTATCTTTGTTTTATTAGGTCGTTTCGTTAAGTAATGATAGAGGTTACTAGTATATGAATGAAGTATAGTATTATCACTTACTTTCTAAACCAGGTTTGCTTTTCCTTCAAGCTATCAAGACCAAACATAATCTCCATGTACGTTCGATAATCGTTAAACGGCTTCTGCATTAGTCCCGCAACTGGGATGAGTGTCTCTCCGATGTCGGCCGCTCTCAGTTCTGGACTTTTTCGGATAATACATGTTAATTGGCATGCTTTCTGAAAGTCTTCCTGGGCACCCGTAATGGAAGCTGCCTCTTCGAAGATCCATAAATCCGGGGGAAGCAGATCTCTTAGGATAATCCCCACTGCAGTTGCTAAGGCTGCAGCATTGGGAGAAATGGTCCTCAGCGAGAAGTGATTTGGCAGTTCAGCGATAGCTTTAGGTGTAACGGAGAGCTGCCCACGACCGGCATCATAGAGACCGTCCGCATAGAGAGTTGTGCTCGGCAGCGGTTTTGGACAGTCCCTAGAATGCGTGCGTTAGGGAATAATGGCGGTGATACATGGGAGCTGGCGACTGAAACACGGTACACGATCTCATTGACTGTATCATCGGGCTTAGGAATCCCGAGTGATCTCAAGAGTGGGTCCAGAAGTGACTGGAATGGTCCGAAGACTTTCATGTCTGACTTTGGAACGCAGAGGAACGATAGTTCGGGCTCTAGTAGATAAGGGATGTCATCGGGCGCGATAGGAACTAGGGGTGGTTGGGCAAGGCACGTTCGGTGTAGCTTCGATACGGTTAACTAAGCCAAAGGCGAGTAGAATAGGGCAAATTGAAGAAAAGGTAGAAGTGATACCGGATGGGTAGGGTGTCCAGATACGACGGATTGCTCCCAATCACATAGTGAAGACTTCAGATGAAGGATGGGCAGAGTACTGGCCATCTCCAGCCACTTCTCTATCTCAACATTAGTTCTTGTTTTTGAAGGGTTAGATTGAAAGTAGCTGTTAGTTCACCTTGATTGCTCGCAGAATTCCGCACCTCCTTTACAAGTATCTCTACTGCGTCACTTTCATCTTGGCGAGAACGCCAGCGGTAGATAACACCGCAAATCACACCAGGGTCAAGCTCCTCTGATATCTCGCCGTTGAGGTTTTGGGTTAGCACAGGTCCAAGGAGATCGTCTGCCCGCACAAATCCAACAACCCTGCCGCCGTCTGTTTCGACATATGCGTCAGCTCGCATACCGCACTTGATCCAAGCGTCTTCATCACTGGCCATGGCTCCTCCGGGACTGCGTAAGCACAACAGCAGACTCGGGCTGTTACATGACTCAAGGGTTGCGCAGGCTATGCCATCGTTTATCGCACTGGCAAGTACTCGCTTGGTTGTCTCAAAGAGCGCCCGTCGCCTATTGGGCGATATGGAGTCTCCTAGTAGGGGTCCTGTCATGCTAAGATGGTTCAAGGTTTGCTGAATGATATGGTGGCATGCCGCTGAGTCTCTCGATTCATCCTTGCCCACTGGATCTGGTCCTATTCCAATGGTCTGCAACATCTTGACGATAAGCCTCGGAAGTCCGACGAGGTGATAGAAATGGCCAAATATAAACTGGTCGCAATACATATCCATTGTAAAGGCGTAGTCCACATTATAAGCATATATAGGGCTAAAATCCCCAGCATTGGCCGGAGATCGGTGACATCAATGGAATTCCTAAGCGGAAATAGATTCCAGTAGGGCTGTTACATGTTGCATTCAGCGAAGTCTCCCTTCCGCGGAAAAGGCCGAAATGCAACATCGCTCGGGAATCCTACTGGTTCAGGATGATGACCCTTATTGGGCCAGATCCAACTAGATATGTTCGATAAAGATAACATTGTCATGGAAACTGTTTATGTGGGGCATTCATCTTATCTTAGGAGGCTTGCACGCAGTGCTGCATACTTTATGCATAAGAGCCATAGGAGGGTATGACAGAGCACTATTCAAGTCATAAGTTAGTATAGTATATGAACCATCTCTGAACCTCTGCAATGAGGTCAAAAAGAAAAGCAAAGGAAGAACTCGAGTCCGATAATATAATCGGCAGAAGGGTAGGTCACATCCGATAATGGCTAGTTTCTCGTGAGTTGTCCCCCAAAGATCAATATTTCCAACATACTCATTTACTGCTGCACTAGAGATGAAGGCTATGACTGTCCAGCATATGCTGCATGCCGTCCCTCCCCTCCCAAGGCTCTGTACGATACTGTTTTAGCCTACCACCAGTCTCCACGCGAACTATGCGTCGACCTGGGCACTGGCCACGGGGCTGTAGCTCGCGCGCTGGCCACGCACTTCATATCTGTCCTCGGAGTTGACTCCTCCGAGGGGATGCTGAAGGAAGCCGCAAGAGCTCAGCAATGGGACAACAGTAATATTCAATATCGCCAGTCCAATGCAGAGTCTCTCCCCTTCATTGCATCGAAGACGGTTGACCTGGTAATCGCCTGTCAAGCAGCGCATTGGTTCGACCCTGAACCGCTCTGGAATGAGATGACACGAATAGTTCGGCCGGGGGGCACTGTTGCTTTCTGGAACTGGGGTCATTACGTCGTGACGGGACGCCTGCGGGCGAATCGGGCCCTGCAGGAGTTGTTTTTCGAGGATCTGGTACCGTACTGGCCTCAACCAGGAATATCAGTGTTCAACAATGAATGGATGTATCCCGTTGAATGCCGGGATTTTGCTAACTGGACCGACCTTACAAGGTTGGTAAGTGTCCCTGCCGATGACGATGCGCCTGGCGTCTCCAACACTCCAGGAGCTATTCAAATGCGTGCATCACAGACCCTTGGTAGTCTGGAGACCCTGATACGGACATTGAGCATGGTCCATGAATGGCGTAAGGCACATCCTGAAGCTTTATTAGTAAGAGAGGGCGGGTCTGGTGACTGCGTTGATACCCTCATGCGAGATACGATCGAGGGTGAGGTAAAATGGCGCGTCTTTGTTACGTCGGGGGGCAATTGGCGGGACATCGAGGTAGATCTCGAAATGCGCAGCATTTTGCTGATGGCACGAAGGAAGCAGTTCCTGTCGTACTGTGAAGATCCGCACCAACGCTATCCATGATAGCATGCATCCGCCTCTCGATCGAGCAGGACGGGTCTATCCAAAACGTATGCGTTCCGAAAGGTTTTGCAGATCGCAATGTATGGACAGTCGAGTCTTGCAAAAGTGCTATGATCTTCAATAATCCGGGATGGAGGTTCAAAGTTCTGGAGAAAGTATGTAGGGGGAAGATGCTGGAGCGGCCCGCTGCTGCTGCTTAGCAGGTCAGGTGCTACACGTGGATTCCCCTGTTCGTTGGAGTGTTAGCAGTTCTATCCCTTGATTCGCCTTTTATTTATCTATTACCCCATAGACTTACGTTGTTATTTGCATTTTCTTGTCAACCTTTCAGGAGTTCAACATGATCTCATGCGAGAGAAGAAGGTATACAGTCATTACACGTTTGTCTCTGTTAAGACAGATAGTCCGTTTTTGACCATGCTGGTAATAGACTACGAGCACTTTTATTTTATTTTATTTTTTTATTTTTATTTTTATTTATTTATTTATTTATTTATTTTTATTATTTTTTTTTTTTTCTTTTTCTCTACGTATACTACACACCTTTTAGTAGGCTAGCAAAGTCTAAGGGCTGGCTGGCTGACTAGCTGGCATCATAAGATCTATCTAGAGAATGATCTGCAAGTCGATGCAGCTATTACTAGAGAGATTCGTTGGACATAATGACGCAATGAAGATCCACGAAAGTTAATATCATGGGGTCTCCGCATGTTATAATTGTTGCTAAAATAAGCAGAGGATGGGGAATGCATCAGAGATCGGCCATCGTATTTATGATTTGTATGAAGCATGCAGCTGCAGGAGCATACAGCAGGCACGTAGTACAAACATTACATAGGAGAGAGTGGAATGAAGCCAAGTGATCATCTGGTCGAATTGCATTCATAGTATGCATAAGTATATATTATTGGAAGAAGATATAAGAAATATTTATAGAGAAAGTAGGCAGAAGTGTAAAAAAAATGACTGGTCGGTGAATGTAAATGGCATGAACGTCCTGACATTCAAAGTACAGCTTCCCGACCAGAAAAAAGAAAAGAAAGAATCTTCCCAAATCAATAATAGCTATCTAGCAATGTATAGAAGTAGGATAGGGTATGCTGTGGTTCATCTGCCGTCTATATGCATAATTCGTGATCATCAATGCAAGGGGGTTCGTAACCAAGCATGGGTTATCGTCATTGATCGGCATGTGCGCATTCAAGTTCGTGGGTCGTGTGCGTCTGCCACTCATCATTTTCCGTTTCCACATCCGACGAGACAGATGAACTGGGGCTGGAGTGGTAGAGTGTGGTACTGGCGCTGGACAGCGGAGGGTCGGAGGACGGAGTCTCCGTTTCGGACTCGTGTGGTATCGTTTCAGGCTGGGACGCGGATGATGTTGGACCCGTCTCATCCTGGACGGGGTGAAGCAGTTTGTCACGATTCTCTAACGGTCCCAGGGTCCATCGCCACTCGCAGCGACGTTTAGCTCGCTTCCTGCGCGGCGTTTGTGGTGTCAGGCTGCCCGGATTGCTGGGTCCCGCGATTCCATCCATCAAGGCCACCGCCCGGACTTGCCTCTCGGCAGTCGAATGCTTGCGCTTCCTCCGCTTAATGGGAGACGATGTCGTCTTCCCTAAGCCGGTCTCGGGTTCATCTTCAGAAGTGCTGGTGTCCGAGGGACACCCGCTGGCGTTCGAATCCGAGTCCTCGTCTGATGAGGCTACCTCTGGTTGCTGGGGTTGTGATTGAGGCTCAAGTGCGGGTTCCGGGTCGTCGTGTAGATCGGAGTGGCGTGCCGTGTAGTGCACGGTCTGGATTTCCTCTTCCAAAGGGTTGCGATAGCTGACCTGCTTCTTGGCGGGAAAGAAGACGCGGCGTGCGCTCGGTCCACCATTCGGCCCGGTGGTGGCCACCGATCCAGCCCGTCGGCGGCAGGTCGACTCGAGCGGCGAGTTTCGCAAAATACTCTTCACCCCCAGTGGGAGTTGGTATGGGTTGTGTGTGGTGAATGGAGAGGAAGGTTTGCTAAAGCGGAGGCTGGACGGGTGTTTCGATGACGGAGAGGCGGTGGCAGATGAAGGGCCGGTGACCTCGTAGGCATTTTTGAAGGTATTGCGGACAGTGGGAGATGCCGTTCCAGCTGCAATAGAGAGGGACAACCCCGTTGAGGATGTGCCAAAGGTTCGGGGAAGAGAGGTGGTTTGGAGAGTCAGTTTCGGTCGGGACGATATCGTAGTCTGTTGTGTGGCACTGGAGGAGGAGGATGATGATGATGAGGAGGAGGAAGAAGAGGAAGTGGTGGTCGCAGTCGAGGCTAGACTGCAGACCATGTTGGAGGAGGACGAAGGGTGGGAAGCTTGCGGGGTCATGGGGGTTGCGAGCATGGCGAAAGCCCCCAAACACAACGGCGGAGGGAGCAGTAGAAGAAGAGGAAGAAGAAGAAGAAGAGGGAGGAAGAGAGGAAGAAGGAGGATAAACGAAATGAGACCAGAAAGCGAGGAGGTCTTGGGGGGTGCAACAGTAAGGCCCCGCACCAAGAAGCAGCAAAGACGAAGCAGAAGCAGTAGCGCCTTGCCAACAGCACCGGAGTGTGATTCAAGATGCAGAAGTGCAACGACCGGCACCAAGCGCGTCAAATCCAGGGACGATAAGGTTCTGAAATAAGACCAGGTGGGATCCCAACGACTGGAACCAAGCAGACGAGAGACGTGGGCGCTTGTACGAGGGTCGCCTTATTTTAGAATGATCTGCGACTCATGGTTTGCTGGAATGTTGAAGAAATGAACTGTAGAACCAGAGGATAAGCAGAGGATAGGCAGAGAATAGAAGATCGAATAGTAAAGTCCAGAGGAAACTGGGTTAAATGAAAATGAAATTTCCTTAGCCGCGGGGGAGGGAAATTAAAGAAATTAAGAAATTAAGAGATTACTGTTAATCAAAAGTGCTAAATTTACGAGTCTTCGCCATCCTATCATCCAACCCGGCCTGGATGGAGTCGCTGGACTCCATCGCACCCTCAGCATCTCCATTCAGCATTGTCTTCAAAGTCTCAGTGCTCCTCTGCTGGACCACCGGCCGGCTAGTCGCTCCTCATCTAATTATAACCCAACTATTGACGCCGCCGCCGACGGGCCCCAGTTTTCTGATGATCGAGAATGGCCGATCCTACCAACGGCTCCATTCCATCTGCCATCTTCTGGCCATCGACGCCCGGGCGAGACACGCGGCCGATCCATCCCTCCAGCAGTCTGATCTCCGCAATGTCTCTGCTGGAAAATTTGCCTAGTGTTGACTCACATCATCAGAGTCATTGTGTTTTTGATTCTTTCCACGTTGGAAAATTGCTGGTTAGTCATTCTGGGGGCACGAGTTGCGAGACGTTATTTATAGCAATCAACTGGAGCAGGGAAAAGGAAAAGGTGCGCGTCACAGTACCGCCCTTACGTAAGGCAGTTGCATCTTGCACAGACCAATCAGAACTGCAGCTGACGCGGTGTTCTAAAAATGGCATAGTCCCTGCACGAGTGACTGTGGGGAAGTGACACCCCCTTTGGGTTAGTGTCACAATCACGCAGTTACTGAGTCAGCCAGGGTCCAACCAACCAGAAACTTTGAATGGGCTGTACCCCAGCCACCCAGCATGAACTGAAGCGTGACCAGCACCAGCCACATCCCAGCCGCAGGTTTGTTGCCCAATCAGCTGGGGGTCTCGTAGTCACTAAGCAGATTGTTGCATCGCACTATCTGTCCTATCTATGGATCTAGTATCTCGGTTGAACGAGTTATCGAATCTCTTGTCGCTACTTGGATGACAGGTGCGGACGGACAAATTCCCTCTTTGAGCTCCCATTTCCAGCCCTCTGCATTCCGGTAATAGTATCCACCGGAGGTTTTCGCAACATCCTTTTCGCCTCCCTACTACTCCGGACAGTAAGTAGGGACTACAAGGTAGCAGACGGAATACCACTCTCCGTTGTGAGGTCTGCCTGGAATTCGATCCCCACTGGCTCTCTCCGTCGATGCTACATAGTTCATGGCTGTGTTACCATCCAGAGACGACCGCCGAATTATCCTCCACTTTGTCAGTCACGCTACCCATTGTGATCCATACTGCACTCAAATAATCATAACGTTTTCGAAACCCTGCGGAAACGTGACTCCATTCGGCCGTTAACTAACTGCCTCTCTGCAATCCCCACAGGATTATGATTGTTTCTACGCCTCGGTCTTTGAGGTGGAGCAGCCTGTGCTGAAATCCCTGCCGTTGGCGGTTCAGCAGAAACAGATCGTAGTCACCTGTAATTATGAGGCCCGCCGGCGCGGGTTGCGCAAGCTCCAGTTGATCAAAGAGGCCAAACAGATCTGCCCGGACGTCGTCATTGTCTTAGGCGAAGATCTGTCTAGATTTCGCGATGCATCCAAGGATCTATTCCTCTACATTAGGTCCTTCGTCTGGGGGGAGAAGGTCGAAAGACTCGGCTTTGATGAGGTATGTATTGCTAGTATCGACTCTACTACAGACTTGGTTTCATGGTCAGAAATGCCCGTTGAGATGGTTCTCCACGGGTTCCTGGGCTGCAGTGAGCTTCTTCGCGACCCCGTCTAATACCCGCCTGCAGTTGTTCTTGGATGTCACCGAAATGATCAACTACAATGTCGATCTGCTGAATCGCTATGATCTGGAACATTCATTCTTTCATCTGGACCGGCACGAACCCACCGTGGGTTTCACTTATGATGCCACCCGATTATGTGGCTCCACTTACCCTGCTAACGCGAATACGATCGCTGCCGCTGCGCCCTCGACGACTGCGACAGCTGACGAGGACACATCAGCCTGGCTTTACACTCGATTGCTGGTGGCCTCGCACCTTGCAGGCTACCTTCGCGGTCAACTGGAGCAGCAGAAAGGGTACACTGCCACAGTGGGGATCTCTACGTCCAAGCTTCTCGCCAAGCTCGCAGGCAGCACTCATAAACCGAACAACCAGACCACGCTACTTCCCCCGTATACTACACCGACGCTGGCTGCGCCCAGTAATGTGCTGGATTTTCTTGATGCGCACGAGATCAGGAAGATCCCTGGGATCGGCTCCAAACTGACGCGGAAACTCAGTCACTATCTCGCTGATGGAGGCGCTCACTCAGCCCCAGCGGTGACCACCGACAACACCGCCGATTCTAACAAGGTGACTGTGAGAGATATTCGATTGTTGCCTGGCATGGGCCCGTCCCTGCTCAGTCGGATCTTAGGGGCCCCAGGGGCACCCCGAGATATCGGGGTGCGAGTCTGGGGACTGCTGCATGGCGTAGACAATACCGAGGTCGTCCAGGCAGGAGATTTGCCCACGCAGATAAGCATTGAAGATTCCTACGGTCGCCTGGACAGCCTTGACAGCGTCCGAAAAGAGCTAGTCTTGCTAACAGGGAGCTTACTTCGTCGGATGCGGACGGATCTGACAGAAAAGGACAGGGAGACTGACAGTATAGCAGCAAACCAATCTGCAATGTCGAAAGTCCGATGGCTTGCGCATCCGCGAACCCTGCGGCTGTCCACACGGCCCCGGTCTGCCACCGACAGTGCACAATCTTACCATGGGGGGAGAATCTCTCGCTCAGCGCCGCTGCCCGGATATGTCTTCCATCTTGATGAGAGTGTGGACGCGCTGGCTGAACGATTGGTACAAGATCAACTACTGTCCATGTTCCGCAAGCTTCACCCGGAGAGGTCTGGGTGGAACCTGCGATTGATGAACGTCGCTGTGACAAATTTGGTAGATGCCGCTGGAGAACGGAAGCAAAGCAGTGGACGCGATATTGGTAAGATGTTTCAAAGCCAAGGGTCGCGGCGCAACGATGCCTTGGCCATTTCTGAGCCGGGGCACGTATCTACGGGTAACAGCGGCACAATGGCCGTCACCCCTCAGGAGCCCTTCCATCCTGGAGACGCTGCAGCCATGACTGAGAACGAAGTGGAGGAAGCTGCATGGGAAGAGAGCGACGGAGAAGATGGCATGGCTTGTGTAGCATGTGGCGTCTGCGGCGCCATGATTCCACATTTCGCCCGAGACGCGCACGAAGCATTTCATTTGGTTCCAGACTGACCGTGATTTGGTGGGGGATGGAATGGTAACACTATGGTTGAAGAATATTGACGCCAGGATGGAGTGGTTGTTGCTCTTGAGTTATAGTAAGACAGCAGTACTCTGTATAATGAGCGATGATCCGTAAGCGCCGGGAGGGCTTGGCGGGTGTCCGCGACAACCAAAAGCGGAGAAAGCGATGAATCGTCCATCGAATGGTTTGTTGTGGTTGTTGTTTGGGGGGTCCATTTGCAATCCCTGAACCGGACCCTGTCAATCCCTCCCAAGTCCCTCGTTATCCTCCGCCTTTTCCACCCCCTCCACACTTTATTTTCCCATCCATCATCTTCCAGTGCCTCAATCCAAATCACTGTCGTTGAATATAGATTCGCATCTGTTTTCCGTACGTGTATTTGTTTACTTTCGGGAGGGAGATTCTCGCCGTCCATTCCAGATTTCCGCCCGTCCGCCAAGGCGGCTGCGCCTCCAGCCAAGCCAAAACCTCCTTGGATCGCCAGGTGGAAAGAATCCCTTTCACTCCCCGTCGAGTGAGTCTGTCTCACTGCTCCCTCCGGTCGTTGCGCGCGCTCTCTCTCTTTCCTCTCCACACCTCCAGTATACTTCCTCTGCGGGTGTGTGAGAGACTGCGACGATCCGGAGAAGAATAAAATCCTCCAGTGCAGCTTAATCTCCGGAGTTATCCGTCATACATGACCGGCTCCCGAGCCAAGATCTCGACCGGGTCCATCCAGTGAAAGGGAACTCAATCGTTTGCACTTTTCGTCGCTGCCTGATGCTGTGGACCGAAGGGCTCTGTTGAACCCTGACTCTCCGGATCTCTCGGTGTTGTTTTGATGCCAGCACGCTCGTTCCACACTCACCTTCAACCCCTCCCATCGGCTGTCTTCACTCGCTGACAGCAATGCGGTTTCTCACTTATTCCCTGCCCTTCATTGCAAGTGCTATCTCGCTCTTTGGGGTCAATGTACAAGGTTAGCTCGGCGACATCCGGCGCATAGATTTGTTCTAACTTGATCAAATACAGCTCGATCACAAGCTCCAAGCGCCATCCGTCATGTGTCGACGCTTGACCAGCCCACCATCAAGACACCCTCGCAGCGGGTCGATCACCTTGACCACTTTGACATCACCTTCAATATTCATGACAAGCACCAGCGGATAAAGCTGGAGCTGGAGCCCAACCATGACATCCTGGCGGAAGACGCATCCGTACAGTACCTCGACGCGGACGGGAACGTGCGACGGCACGAGCCCATTGCTCGACATGAGCATAAGGTCTTCAAGGGGAGGAGTCTACTCGGGCGAGGAAAAGGCATGTGGGATCCGGTCGGATGGGCGCGGATCTACTTGAAGCAGGATGGCTCAGAGCCACTATTTGAGGGAGTCTTCAGTATCGACGGCGACAACCATCACGTTCAGCTGAAATCGGCATACATGGAGAAGAAACGCCCCGTGGATGTCGACCTTCCCGACTCAGCGACTGACTATATGATCTTCTACCGGGATTCGGATATGGTGCGTCTACATACGGAACTCAAGCGGTCGTCGCTCGGATCGACCTCGTGTCAAGCCGATCAGCTCGGCTTCAACACTAACCCCAACCACCCTGTGCTACAACCGTATGGCCAGGCAGAGACCGATACGTGGGGAGCAATTTCATTGAACTCCTTGTTTGGACTCAACAAGCGCCAATCCGATATCGGAAGTGTGTCTGGCAATGCGGGCGGAGTCAATCTGGCGTCGACCATTGGTGATACTTCGGGCTGTCCGAGTACGAAGCAAGTAGCTTTGATTGGTGTTGCAACGGACTGCGCCTTTACCGGCTCATTCAACAACGAGACTGCCGCCAAGGAATGGGTCATCAGTACTGTCAACAGCGCGTCCAATGTCTACGAAAAGTCCTTCAACATTACGATTGGGCTGCGGAATCTGACTATCACCGACAGCTCATGCCCCGACAACCCGCCCGCGGCCACGGCATGGAACATGCCCTGCTCCAGCGGCAATCTCACCTCCCGACTGGATCTGTTTTCCAAGTGGCGCGGTGAGCAATCGGATGACAATGCTTATTGGACCCTGATGAGCGATTGCGCGACGGGCAACGAGGTCGGACTGTCATGGCTTGGCCAACTCTGCAATAGCGATGCTTCTTCGGATGGCTCGAGCACGGTCAGTGGAACTAACGTCGTCGTTCGGTCTTCCGGCTCGGATTGGCAGATCTTTGCTCATGAATCTGGCCACACCTTTGGCGCTGTCCACGACTGTGACTCCCAGACCTGCGCGGAGGATCTCGAAGCCTCGTCCCAGTGCTGTCCGTTGACCTCGAGCACCTGCAACGCCAACGGGAAATACATCATGAATCCTACAACTGGAACAGACATCACTGCGTTCTCGCAATGCACTATCGGAAATATATGCGCAGCCCTGGGCCGCAACAGCGTTAAGTCCAGTTGTCTCTCCGCCAACCGCGACGTCACCACCTACACTGGCAGCCAGTGCGGCAACGGAATTGTCGAGTCCGGCGAAGACTGCGATTGTGGCGGGGAAGATGGTTGCGGCGACAACAACTGCTGCGACGCGAAGACATGCAAGTTCAAGTCGGGAGCTGTGTGTGATGACTCCAACGACAGCTGCTGTTCAAGCTGCCAATTCTCCTCAGCTGGGACGGTATGTCGTACCAGTCGCGGCGACTGCGACGTGGCAGAGACCTGCAGCGGCAACTCCAGTACTTGTCCTACCGACTCGTTCAAGAAGGACGGCACGAGCTGCGGCAGCAGTGGCTCGGGACTTGCCTGCGCCAGTGGCCAATGCACCAGCCGCGACTACCAGTGCCGCAGCGTGATGGGTAGTCTCCTCCACAGCAACGACACCTACGCCTGTTCCTCCTTCAGTTCCTCCTGCGAACTGGTCTGCACCTCCCCGAAGATCGGCACGTGCTACAGCGTCAACCAAAACTTCCTCGACGGCACTCCCTGCGGTAGTGGCGGCTACTGCAGCAACGGCGACTGCAAGGGCCAAAACGTCGAATCCTGGATCAAGAACCACAAAGGTATCGTCATTGGTGTCGCCTGCGCCGTAGGCGCCCTGATCCTTTTGGCCCTGATGACCTGCATCGTAAACCGCTGTCGCCGGGCTCGCGCGCCGAAACCCGTCCCGCGTCCAGTGCCTTACGGCCCGTGGCCCGGCGCTAGACCTCCCCCGCCGCCGCCCATGAACCAGTGGCCGGCGCGAGGCTATCAAGGCTTAGGGAATGAGCCGCCGCCCCCGTATCCAGGTGGACCTGGTCAGCCAGTACCGCAACATATGCCTCCCCAGGGGCGGTACGCGTGATTGACGAGACTTCTGTGCTTCTTTCCATGCGATATAGTATGCATTACGATTCTTGCAGCACTAGCATTGCAAATGTGACGATTACTTCATTGATCCTTTATTGACCTTACATTCTTGTCTTGGAGTGGAGGCGTGTTCTAGAGTTTTGGTTTGATGCTGAATTGTTCTTTTCTATACGGGGTCTGGGTGTTTCGTGAATTACACTACTTACAATCCATGGGATGCAATCCCCAGGGGGTTGGTTCGCGTCTTCTTTCCCTTTCTTTGCCCATATTAGACGGGGCCGTGGGATGTATGGTCGGGGTCTGATGTATGTATTCCTGCCGTGTATAATGAACTCTTCATAATATATTGCTTGTAGGTATAGTAGGTACCACTCAACTTAGCATAGTAAACAGAAAGACATTCGATATTTATAATTCCTATTTTCATTGCATAGTTAATATTCCCAAATCAATTGGCGCCAGTCCATGCACAGTACGTAGTAGATAATTAGACGTGATCAACAAAGCAGACGGACAGACACACCAACGAGTTAACAAGACCATCCATCCATCCATCATCCACACCAAAACCAAACAAGCAGGGTTTTTCCCATCCAATCCACATAAACCCAACGAACCATCCAACCTCAAGAATCGACACAAAAAGTGGAAGAGAAAAAAAAAGGTATAAAATAATCACTGCCAACAAATCCCCACAAACGCCTCCCTGGTAACACCCCCGACACCCTCCAAATCAAACTCCTCAATCATAGCCCTCAGTTCCTCCTCCTCGAGTCCCGTCTCACCCAACTCCCTCGCCACGCGCCTCAAATCTTCCAAATCAATGTACCCCTTTCCACCTTCATCGAAGAGTTCGAACGCGCGCAGGATCTCGTCGCGTGGATCCCGCTCCAGTATCTTCAGCGCCGTGACGGCCTGGAAGGCCGATAGTGGCATGAGCAGATTACTCGGGTGTTGAGGGTTCGTAGTAGCTGCTGCGCGGTTTTGTTGTTGCTGGGGTGGGGGAGGGTTGCCGCCTGCGGAAGGGTTCTGTTGTTGTTGTTGGACTTGGGGACGCGGAACGCCGTAGGTGGTTAGGAGGGAGATGAGCTCTTGTTTGGGGAGGGTGAAGCCTAATGCGCGGAAGGCGACGCGAAGTTCGTGGTAGTCGAGATGGCGGTCACGGTCGAGGTCGAAGAGGGTGAACTATTCAGTTGTCTCTGTTTAGTATGTTGCCTTTTAAGATGCAGTGTATGTTTGTTGGGAAGGGGAAGAAGGGAGCAGTACAGCTTCGTTGATCTCTTCGCGTTGCTCTTCTGTCAATCGGTTCAAGGGATTCGTGTCTTGTTGGGGTTGTGAATGCATCGGTGGTTGCGGTGGTGCTTGCGATGGACCTGGTGCCTGTTGGCTGGCTTTGGGGTCGGCGAAGTCGCCGGCCGTGGGAGCGCCGGGCGCGCCGGCGAGACTGCGGTGTCGCGAGAAGGAGGAGGCGCTGAAGGGAAGGGCGTTGGCGTTGATAGATCGATCGGGGAGTTTGCCCGAGGCGTAGGAGCGCGTGCCGAAGGGTTGTGAGGAAGCCATTGTGTTGGTTGAAGGTGGTGTGGTTTTAGGTCGGTGAGAGGGACCCCGACCGCGGTCGGTCGGTGGGGGGTGGAGGGTGAGGGTCAATGGAGGGGGGTGGTGTTGGTGCAAGGAGTTGGGAGAGTGGGATGGGATGTGCGATGAGTAGAGTGACAGGTCGTAAGGGGGGGAGGGGGTGGTGCAGTGGGTAAACAATCTGGAGACTTTGAGGCGATGAGATGAAGAGCTGGAGGAGGAAGAGGAGAGAAAGATGGAGGTGGAGACGCGATGGAGACGCGAGGCGGCTGTTTGATTGGCGGCGGAGTCTAACCTGGAACACGTTTGCTTTGAACATCCTACTAACTTGGTACCGATTAATTGGTAGACTAGAAGTCTAAAATGTAGGAAGGAGTTATCTGTCCTATGTATTCAATTGTATCTACCATGGTCTATATCTTTCGGTAGAAAGTATGCGTGAGGCTGTCCCTGGCATGTACTCCTGGCAACTGGTGGCCTCCGTGGTTACTCCGTCATACTCCTACCCAACCGCCCAATGCGCAGTTTCCTGTGCCTGGACAGGGGAAAAGCTTTATCTGGTAAGCGCCTGTACAAATTTGATGGGCTCCGTCTGATCCAGCAGATGTCTTTTACGCCCCATATCTGACATTGGCATGCTGCCAATGGTGGAGGCGATCGAGGTGCTTTCATGCAAGCATATTTGTGCCATCAGGCACAGGCTGGCTCTGCGTGGCCTTGTGTGATGATCGAGGGCGAGCCAATGGCATTGGCAGGTTTATACTGCCTCATTGACATGAACATGAGTAGTCTACCTCATGAGATCTGGGTCCACCTGATGTCCTAGATCGTGATCCTCCAAGAACTTCCGCCCCAAAATCTTTTCCGGGAGATAGTCCTGGACGACCTCCCCGTCGACATAGTTAGGATTATACTTGTATTCCTTGCCGTATCCGAGCTCCTTCATCAACCGAGTCGGCGCATTGCGCAGATGGATCGGAACAGGCAGCCCAGCAACGCCGGGCTCTGCTAGCGCAGCAAATGCATTGTTCAGGCCGCGGTACGACCGCGTGCTCTTCTTTGAGAGTGCCATGGCAACGGTCGCATGTGCCAGATTGATCCGTGCCTCCGGTAGGCCGATCTTTTCCACAGCCGCGTGGGTCGAGATGGCTAGCGTGAGCATGCTGTTGTCCGCAAGCCCAATGTCCTCCGATGCGACGACGATGAGACGTCGAGCGATATAGAGGGGGTCTTCTCCCGACTGGATCATGCGAGCAAGATAGTACAGCGCCGCATCGGGATCGCTCCCCCGGATGGATTTGTGAAAAGCGGAAATGGTATCGTAGTGTTGATCCCCGGCCCGATCATAGACAAGGGTCTTAGTCAATGACCGCTTGATCTCATCCTTGGTCATTCCAGGCCGTTTCGACAGATCCATGGCGAGCTCTAGAAGATTAAGGGACGTCCGCGCGTCCCCATCGGCGACCCTGGCCAAGTAATCAATCAATTCCTCATCGACCAATTCCGAAGGCGAATAGTTCGGCCCCTCCAGCCGTAGTGCTCGATGAAGGATCGATTTGATATCTTCGTCTGTAAGTTTGGACAGAGTAAAAGTCCGACACCGGGACAGCAGAGCGCTCTGCACCTTGAAAGAAGGGTTCTCCGTGGTAGCACCAATAAGCGTTACCTGCCCGCTTTCTACTGGTCCCAGAAATACATCTTGTTGAGACTTGGAGAATCGATGAATCTCGTCACAGAAAATGATGGTCTTCCGTCCCGTCAGACTGAGCTCACTTTTCGCATCGGAGAAGATTTTCTTGCACTCCGCAACTCCCGAACTGGTACTGTTGATCTCAACGAAGCGGCTACCAACCATCGAAGCAATCACGCGAGCAATGGTCGTTTTCCCTGTTCCTGGACCACCCCAAAGAATCATACTCGGAACCCGATCTTGCTCAATCAAGCCCCGAAGCACTCCGTTTGGCCCTACAAGCTCTTGTCCGCAGACATCGTCAAGAGTCCGAGGACGCATGCGTTCCGGTAAAGGCGCAGCCTTTTGCAAGGCGCTAACTTTTGGCTTCTTTGGTTCGCTCGACGGTTGGCTGGGCCCGGATCTCTCGTATACCTCCGATGAGTTGGCATCGTGCGGCGTCGCCCGTTTGCCGTTGACATTGCGCAGTGGGGAGGAAGTCACATTTTGATCTCGCTGTCCATTTGCCTGAGCAGACTGAGCAGAAGCTTTCTTAGCAGAGGCTGGCTGGAAGAAGCTGGGAACCGGAGCTTTCTGAGTGGCGGGAGTCTCCCCCGAGCTGGACGGCTCTTCGATAAAGTTCTGGCAGTCGGAATCGATGTGGTCGTTAATCTTTAGGGGCGAGACGGACTGGCTGCAGATGGGACAAGACACCATGATGGCGGTTAGTCATTAGAATCGTAGAAGAAGCGCTGCCAGCAAGCTGGGTGCAGAGCAGCTCCCAGTGGCGGCCATGGAAATCGAGCTATCAAATCACTTGGATTAACAGGTGAAACGCGTTTCCGACGCGCGCGATAAGCCGGGCTGACTAAGAACAGTCGTACTCAGTGCCTGGCTGCCTGAGGAACTCATGCGTCATCTCCGATGCTCGCTCACTTCTTGAACGAGAACCACAGTCAATAGCAAGGACGCATTCATTCATACTGCATCAATTGCTTCGTTGATAGTTTTCAAACCACGTCTAGTCGATACTTGCGCATTAAACGCCGAAGCCCGTCCGGAACAGCCCGTTATCCGCTTCCATCGGAGGTCACCTCTGCCTACTACTACCATTACCACTACCACCGCTATACTTGAGGTAGGGATGCACATGCCGGAGGATGGCGGACAGTTAATCAATGCCCTTTCGTCCTTCAAGTACTAAATCTCCTATTCGACATAGTAATCGTGTCAAAATAGCCTCTCTAAGTCTAAGCAAGACTGCGGAACGGCATCTTATCAGCGCTGTCCGACCCAGCAAAGCACGCAATTATAGTTGGCGGCTGCCAAAGCGAGTCCCGCTCTGCCTCCCCGGATCTGACTCTCTCTTTCGCTACCTTTCGTACCACTCTCCTCTTTCTCTTCTTTTCTCCCCCGCTCTCCTCCAATTCCTCGGCCCAGCTGCCTCTATGTTCTCTGGCCACCGCGCTGCTTTTTTCTCTACCAGAGCCATCAAGATTCAGCCCTCACTGGCCGTTACCCTGCGCCCCTCGTCAACTCCTACACTACCCCGCCAGCCATTCTCCCGAGCGATGTCGGCCACCACGGCTCGTCCCGACCCTTTCAAACCGGCGGCCAGAGTCGCTGGCCAGAGACAAGATGTCTGGTGCGATGCGCATGAATGTTCACATTGCTGCTTCTCAGTGTCTGACCGGATCGCAGGTCCATTGTCAATGAAGCCGCCGCTGCCTCCCCCGTCCAGCCCATCGTGAACATGGGACAGGGTTTCTTGTGAGTGATAAATCGCCGAAGATGGATGACTCGGAGTTCCTGACCTTTTTTCTACGTGCGCAGTGGCTACAACCCTCCCAAGTTCGCCCTGGATGCCGCCAAGGAGGCCCTTGACCGTGTCGACTGCAACCAATACTCCCCCACCAAGGTACAACCGGATTGCGACATATTCATACCGGAACACTTGCTCACCTTCGATTAGGGACGCCCGCGTCTCAAGAAAGCCATCGCCGATGCCTACTCGCCTTCCTTTGGCCGGACTCTCAACCCGGACACCGAAGTTACCATCACCACAGGTGCAAATGAAGGTGGGACATACTCTGTTGCGTGCGTGACTGGTAGCTGACGAGTTGTCCAAGGTATGCTGAGTGCGTTCATGGGCTTCATCGAGCCCGGCGACGAGGTGATCATCTTTGAACCTTTCTTCGACCAGTGAGTCACTTCTATTCTTGCCATGCGAACCCTTCTAATGGCCCCAAAGGTACATTAGCAACATCGAGATGCCCGGAGGAAAGATCCGCTACGTCCCTCTTCACCCTCCCAAGGATGGCGCGACGAGGACTTCCCCCGCCTCCGAGTGGACGATAGACTTTGAGGAGTTGGAGAATACCATCAACGACAAGACCAAGATGATTGTAAGCCTGACCTTACTTCCTACTTCATACTGCTATAGTACTAACCATCCTCATTAGGTCCTGAACTCCCCGTAAGTAACCTAACAAGCGACCATCTCAAGCCGCAAACTGACCAAGCACAGTCACAACCCCGTTGGCAAGGTCTTCTCGCGCGCTGAGCTGGAGCGCATTGGAGAAATTTGCGTGAAGCATAACCTGATCATCCTCTCCGACGAAGTCTACGACCGCCTCTACTACGTCCCTTTCACCAGAATCGCTACCCTGTCTCCTGAGCTCTACGAGCGCACTCTCACCGTCGGCTCTGCCGGAAAGGCCTTCTACGCCACTGGCTGGCGAGTAGGATACCTCGTCGGTCCCGAGCATTTGATCAAGTACGTGGCCGGCGCGCACACCCGCATCTGCTACAGCAGTGTGTCTCCTCTTCAGGAGGCTGCCGCTGTTGCTTTCGAGCAGGCCGACAAGGTCGGATTCTGGGACGAGAGCCGGAACGAGATGAAGAAAAAGATGGAGCGTTTCTGCGAAGTCTTTGACGAGCTCAAGATTCCCGTGAGTATTCCCTTGCTAGAATCTTTCCAGGCCGGAACTAACCCCAGCTCGCAGTATTCGGACCCCGAGGGAGGCTACTTCGTTCTTGCCAATATGTCTTCGGTGAAGCTTCCCGAGGACTACCCATTCCCTCCTCACGTTGCCAGCCGTCCTCGTGACTTCAAGCTGTGCTGGTTCCTGATCCATGAAGTCGGTGTGGCAGCCATCCCTCCCACCGAATTCTACACTGACGCCAATGCGCACATTGCCGAGGACTATCTCCGCTTCGCAGTCTGCAAGAATGACGATGTGCTGGAGACTGCCAAGGAGAGACTGCGCGGTCTGAAGAAGTATATTGCATGAGCGTTTCAACATGTCTAATTAATATGACGGGCTAGCATAGAGCGGGAGTCTGATCTTGCCTTCAACGGCTGATTCAAAACTATATAGGAAGAATAGAGGACTAAAACAGTCTGTTTGGCACAGAAGTCAATTCCATTTTTTATTTTATCATGATATTGCACATTCGTTCTTCATGTATGTCACATTACCAACAACTAAATGAGCGTATCTCAACCATATTACACAACGAAATCCACCTCACAGGCTATGCATCGTATCAACCCGAGTCCCCTTCTTCCCCCCGCCTTTGCCTCAAAATCCCTGCTCCAGAGCAACATATTTCAAAGCCGGAAACAGAAAGGAAAGAAAAGAATCAACGGCAGATAGCCAGATAGACACAACCCAACGAACCAGCGTCATGTCAGCATCACATCCTGCCCACCCTACCATCATCATGCTCGGGCCAAACAACGAAATCCAGTACCTATCTTCCACACTCCCCTCCCCTACTCACTCACTACTCATCCCCCTCATTAAACCCCTCTATCTCCATATCACCCGAACCCGCCCCATCCCACCCAATCCCCCTTCTAAAGGCCCGTCTATCTTCCTCCGCCACCTCCTCATACCCCTCCCCCATCATACGTTTCATCGCATCCTTAACACTAGGGTGCGTTGTCCTGGCTGCCCTCAGAATCCAATAAGTTGACTCGAGCGTCTCAATCATGCGACTGTATCCTCTTCCACCAACGGATCCTAGCAGCCGACGATACTCAGCCCGACACACCGGATCCTGACAGTTACGGCGGTTTCGGCCGTCCCAGTCTGTTTCACAGGCGTGGCGAGAGCCTGTGATGCGCTCTTGGATGGTCACATTAAATTCTTGCAGGAATTGGTAGCGCAGGGAGGGTTCAATGTGGTTGGGAGCGTTGGCCAGGCGCAGTTTGTCGCGGATTAGACGGTAAAGGTAGTCGGTCAGATCAGGGAGTTCGATGGTCACTATGTATTTCGGGGTTGGTTAGTTGTCTGTAATGAGAAGAGGAAGAAGGTAGGGATCTCACTAAAGAGGCAAGCCGCCAGAACACGACGGAATCGATCTTTCTCTGCCGCGTCATCAAATTTGACCACGTACATTATTCTATTCGAACAACGTATAGCCGTTTTATCACCTGGTAGTCCGGCGGTTACAAAATCCAGCCAGTCCGTGAAGATGAAGTAATCGCCTTCTCTGGCATTCATATTGAAGTGCACAGCTTGGCGATGACGCTCCGGCATGTCGTAGTGATGCAGGCACGGGATGAGAGGAGGTCCAGCGCGGACTCGTCTTGGGATTGAGGTTTCACGACATGGGTGTTGAAATACCATCTGTCCGCAGTAGAGCCAGTGAGGTTTGATGTCCTCAAGTAGGTGAGCTCTACTGCAGTACCGTACTTCGGAGTAGGGCCCGCATCGTGGACAGATCACTGTTGCTCCGTCCCAGAGGTTGCAGCGTTTCTCGCAGTGGGCTTTGGCACAGGGAAAGCCGTGGCTGTCAAGTTGCCAAAAGAACCCCTCTGGTTTCTGGGCGGAGAGGGTGCCCTGGGCGTTAGTTATGGTAGCGTTGGCTGTCGACAGGGAGTGGGAATGAGTGCTACTTGGGGGTGTGGGTGGTAGGGGATGGGCGTGGTGAAGACTTGTGGCGTGGCGATGGCTGACTGCCTTGGACGAGGATGGTTCAGAAGACGACTCAGTCGTTTGTGGGCTGATTTGCAGTGCTGTGCTGCTCCAGCCAGTGGATACTGTGGACACAGGGGTCGAGATTGGGTTGTCAAGTGAACTGGAACCTGCGGTTTCTAGGTCCGTTTGACTGAGCGGTATGTCGTTGGAGTTATCACCTGCAAATTCACCTGATATTTCCGGAATAGGCGAGAGCTTTGCATGACCGGAGCGTGCTTCAGGCTTGCTATCCTGTCCGGCGGAAGTCTTGTCTGTGAGTTTGGGGAATTCCATGGTCGTCGGTAGGAGGGAATCACTGTTGTTTGGCATAGAAGATGGACCCTCGATACTGGCACGTTTTCCAGAAAGAACCGTGGCATATGAAGGAGCGAGCACAGTTCTTCTCGCCTTGTCCACCGGTTGGGGACCACGCTGTGTATTTAAGTCCTCCAATGTATCGTTGCCTGTGACTGCGTTCACTTGCCAGGCCCGCTGCTTGCCTTTGATGTCCAACTTGCTTAGTGAGTCTATCAAATCCCGCTTCTTGTCACTGTCCACTGTATATCTCTGAGACACCTTGTTGCCTGGCATGGGCTTTTCTTTATTTGCACAGCCGTCAGAGTTCAGGCCTTTGGCCGGCATCCGTGCAAAGTGAGACAAGTCCTCTATTTCTATCATATGAGACGAAGTATCATTCGAAGTATTCGATTCCGCGGTAGACTTACCGTTCAATCCAGAGCCCTGGCTCCCAGAAGTCTCGCTTCCGGAGTCACCTAGCAGGAGTTTCTTCTTCTTGTACTTATTCTTCTTCATCTTATTCCTTTTGGCCTTTGAATCCCCAGGAGGTTCCATCACCACAATCCGGGGAATCGAAACAGCCCGTTGGCTGTCGTCAGCTTGCTCGCTAGAACAGCCTTCCTGGGTATCCCTTGGTGTTGATGATCGAGAAATAGTCCGCGCACGTATGAGGCTTATGGCGCCGGACCGCGTGTTGCTATCTTCGTTCTCACTCTTCGCTTCTTCTCCTGCATCATGGAAACTTGTCAGTATGTCTTCCTGCATTGTGTATGTGGATAGAGGAAAGGATAGATGCGTTCAGGCTTGGCTCACCTGAACGGACACTATCCAAGCTTCGTGGGTGCATATTTGTGTTCATGTTGGTGTTGGGGATGTATCTTTACCTGTTGTTCCCGTGACCAGACAAGCGAGGTGAAGTGAATATGCTCACCTTCTCGACTGTACTGTTGGTTCTGTTTGCTCTTCCAAGCTATGGAGGCGGTCTGAGTTGTGCAAATTCATTCAAGAAGTGTTTCTCCAAGTGATGGTTTACTTCTTTCACTGGATCTTCTGGCTAGCAGACCTGGCATATTGCATACAGAGGACTTTGATGTCAGACTTACAGTCCCTCGCTAGAGATAAGGCTAGATTGTGAGGGAGGACGCAACGCCAGCAGAATGGGAGACCGTTTGTGAGTGTACAGCCAGACTCTGTCTACCAGGCTACTCTGCGTGACCATGGTGCGTGCCTTGACAATGACTACTAACGCTATTTATGTAAATACCTATCTAATAGGGAACAAATAATAACAGAGCTCTGTGCCGCAATACATCTGGGAATTTGCTTACTCCGTACTTTGGCACAAGGTTGTAGGACTCAACTGTCTTCAGATTGGAGACATGCGATGAATTTGCAGACCAGCCTGCGGAATGCCACAACCATAAGATACTTATGCCACCACGAAGCGGAACCGACCGGGATATATTATACACTGCTCTATTATTGATGGTCAATGTTTTTCAATGCCTCAGACATCACAATTTAGTATACAGGGAGACGCGCAGATCAGGAAGGTAGAGAACATTTGGGTTGGGCAGACATCACTCTATCTAGCAGGTGATTCTCGTTCTACTCTCATATGATCATTCCACTCAGAACCAGTACTGCCTACAGCAAGCTTTCTTGTAGTGACTCGTCTCATTGCAGGAGCAAATAGGAGTGCTAGTAGGAAAGGCATGGCGGGTATATGAGACACTCCTGATTCAGATGTGCCAGTCTATGTTAATTCATTGCTGTCACTCACACCAGATCTTCAAAAGAGTAGAACCCGCAGCATCATTCAATGTCAAGATGTCTAAACAGCTCAGAAACACAGTTGCCTTCATCTGGTTTGCTGGCGGGCGTTGGACATCACGTGCCCGTCTATTTCATCCAGAATCCAAACGGCCAACCCAACTTGGAACTTCTCATCAACCGCCCTCCTTCTGTCGTCCATCAGAGGATATATTTAGAACCTCGATGTGAGTCAAAAATAAAAGATTAGCTTCGACTTTTGTCAAAATCTGCAGCTCTGAACCAGTCAAGCGTTCAATAATAGACGGATCTTCCCCTTCCTAGTAGCAACATGCAACGGGAAGCGCCGCCAACCCCCAGGGCATCAAGCAAAGAGCCATTAGGATCAGGCTTCACTGTTTGAAACTACCTAACCGCCTCTCCTGGTGCATTTTGCAATGTTGTGGGGTCTAACTTTGCTGGATCGCGGATTGGGCTACAGCGCCGTATCCTAAGCGCCGACACGGTACCTATATTTGGCTGGCCTGCAGAACTCTGAAGAACTCACCGGCATAGGCTCTACCTACAGACACTGCGCTAGATGAAACTTATCGTGCAGATCGACCCCATCAGCTGCAGCCTTTGGCCTTATTATTTGCTATCCTTGTTGACGCTGGCCGCTCTTACTGGCTGCCGTTGGCCGTGTCTTCAACCTGTCTTTGTCTCAGCTATTATTGACCTGGTCACAATGGAAGTCGGTCTGTTGACTCTCTCGCCCATAATAAGGCGGGGATATCCTCCTTATTGTGACATTGCTATTGATTCTACTTCTTTCATCTATTGTTCTTAGGTGTTATGTTTCTACCCCCACCATACAGCTCTTTTAATCTATAGTTTGGTCATGCAGTACGGCTTCTCAACAATTGCGTCCGGTCCATTTGAATAATTACTGCTGGTCAGGATTTTTCTTTCTTTGACATCTCGTCTACCAACTTTCTATACCCTCTGTGATAGACCTCCTTTCTTTGCACGATCCTCAACAGCTGGACTCATTTGGATTTTACACATTCATTCCTCCACCGAATCACTCCCTACACATATAGCATATTTTCGACATGTTGTTTTCAAAATCTGGTCGGACCATCTTTCCACTGCTACCACCCTATGGGGTTCAAGATCCCAACGGCGTTCAGGGTCGAGTCATCCCTGTACACCCTGACGGCTCGACACCTTACCTAGGCCTGCGGGCGCGCCTTTCCCAAGTATGGCTTAACCGCTGGACCGTTTTGCTGCTGCTAGTCCTTGCCCGAGTGCTGATGGCTGCCTCGAGCATAAAAACGGACATGAATCGAGCCAAAAGCGAGGCCCTTTCGGCATGCACAAGCGTGGAATCTATGGGCGATGCCATGGTCTCTATGCCCCATTACCTGGCGGAAGGGGTCAATGAGCTCACAGCAGATGGTGTCAATGCGGCAATTGATGGCCTAAAAATGCTCCTCATGCTTACCTTGACTGGTGTGGAGGAGTTGGTGATTTTCTTCGTCAAAGTGATGTACCAGACATATCTGTGCTTGTTCACGCTCGTCGTACATGGTGTGGTTGATGTTGGACTCAGCTTAATCGAAGATGTAACGGACGTTCTGAATTCCACGGTCAAGACTGTGGCGAAGGATATTGCTAAGGTCACCGAGACGTTTGAGGACGACTACAATACTCTGATATCGAAGATAAACGGGGTTGCCAGTTTATTCGGAGGATCAGTTCCGACCCTGAATATCAGCAGCGAAATCGACAAACTGGAGAATGTACAGCTGCCTTCGTCCATCGATAAGGATCTCCAGAAGATTAACGACTCCATTCCAAATTTCAACGAAGTCATGAACTTCACCGAGAATGTGATTCGTTTTCCCTTCGATGAAGTCAAAAAACTGGTCAACGAGTCACTAGGCAATTACACTTTTAATGCCTCCGCACTCCCTGTCCCTGCGAAGAAGACACTGACGTTTTGCGATAAAAACGATGGGATCAACTCATTTTTTGCCGGAGCAACTGATATAATCCTAACTGCCCGCAAGATATTTATCGCCATTTTGGTCGTCGCTGCCATTATCGCTTGCGTTCCCATGGCCTGGCAGGAGATTCGGCGCTGGCACACGATGAAGGAGCGCTCCCAACTTGTTCGCAAGGAAGCTCATGATCCCATGGACGTCGTTTACATAGTCTCCAGACCTCACACGGCCGCAATAGGTATCAAAGCCGCCAGTCGATTCAGCAACAGCCGCAGACAGATTCTTGTGCGCTGGGTGATCGCATATGCGACCTCCCCCGCAGCCTTATTCGTCCTCCTTCTCGCACTGGCTGGCCTTCTCTCATGCCTCTGTCAGTTCATCCTTCTCAGCGCCGTCAAGAGGACAGTGCCGGAGCTCTCCATCGAAGTAGGCGACTTTGCCGAAGAGATTGTTGGTGTCTTACAAAATACATCTGCTCAATGGGCCAACGATGCCAACAAAGTCATCCAAAACGTTGACGATGAGCTCAACGATCACGTGTTTGGTTGGGTCAACACCAGCACCGGCGCTTTGAATGACACGCTGAATACCTTTGTCAACAAAACAATCGGGGTCCTCAATGACACCTTTGGTGGAACCCTACTCTATGAGCCTCTTCTCGACGTCTTTGACTGCTTGATTGGCCTCAAAGTTGAAAGCGTCCAGAAAGGCCTTACTTGGGTTTCCGATCATGCCCACATAGACTTCCCCCTCCTCCCCAACGACACCTTTTCGCGCGGCGCAGAAGGGAGTCTCAACAGTTCCGATGCATCAGAGAGCTTCCTCGCCGACGCCGGTGACGAGACATCCAACAAGATCACCGAAGTTGTGTACAAGGTCATCAGCGCTCTCGAGAAGGCTCTCCTAATAGAAGTCATCATTGCTTCATGCATCCTTCTGGTCTGGGTCATAAATGCCATGTTTGGCATCATCCGCGCCCTAACACTCTTCTGGGGCCGGGACAAGAACCGTGGTGAGGGCGGACCTGCTCCTCCCAATTCACGACCGAACCCAGGCTCTGGACCGGACTCGCATGGTTTCATCGACGTGCCCCTAACTTCTCTTCCGAGTCACCGTGACGCCGATGAGACTGCTGCGCGCTCGCAGCCGGCACCCCGATATGAAGTTGCGACCAGCCAGGGAAGTTCTGCCGCCGTGGTGAGCAGCGAATTGGAGTATCCGGACGAGAAAGTCGGGTTCGCAGGCCAGCGCAATGCTCTTCGAGTGGACGGGGTGTCGGATCTACGCGGGAGCAGCTACGTGGAGTATGGAATGGAGAAGTATTGATCTGCTGGCCTATTCATGTGATTCGAACTCGCCGTCCTACCAACTTTTTGTTTCTTAGCCAGCTAGGACTCCCTCGCACTTTCCTTGAGCATCTACCATATACCCATAGACCATAATTCTAACTCAATACACTCTTTAATCCAGCCCGTACAATATCTAGAATCATCTCAGGTCAGTCCATGCGCTGTATACCAGACCAGGCACGGGAGTTGTTTACCTTCTCCCTGAAGGAACTTAGAAATAAGGTTTTCGATTTGCACCAAATGGCCGCTACTAATGCCTGCGCCCCACCGTCTACCAAACTACGGCCTTTTGTATACCGAATAACAGTTAGGTGACACTTGGTTCATGATGAGCCAGGAGGACGCCCACCGCTCTTGCAAGATTCAGGGTTGGTCGAGCAATCCAGAAGACTCAGATCACCAATGTGGCGAAAGCGACACCGAAAAGACGTGGTTCCCTGGCGATGGGATCTGTCCACCAACTTCAGAGTTCCTGGCCTGCTGTCGAGCCAGCTATCAGCTTTGGGCCCATGCAGCATCGTCCCCACGGCCAGACGATGGCCTTCTCATTACCCGTATTACCCGGGCCTTTGTGAGGATGCTCGAAAATGTTCCCCGTTTTCTCTATCATCCGCCCAAAAACGTTGAAGTTTTCGGAACGTCAGGCACACGTTTGACTGTGCAGCCATCCCTCCGCATGCGAACCACAGAAGATATGGATTGTACGCAGCACTATAAATGGTTTGATGTTGTTCAATGCCTCGGGGTCCCAGTACCTAAGTCTTACGAGATAACCGCAATGCAACAGCAAGAGATCTCTCTCACCTCAGCACCCCTAAAACGTGGCCATCTAACTAGTATTATATTGGCTTGGTCGTACATCCTTTCGTGTCGATGGGTCGAGATCCTACAAGAGGCTGGATGGAACGCTTCCATTCAGCATGAGAGAGGTTTGCAGATCGCCGATAGCTTCTGGAAGTTAGTTACCCAAGGTCGCTGGCAGGCTAGCGTAAAGATCGCGAAGGGTACACATTATTCACCATGGATGTTAATAGAAAGTAGCAGGAACCTGAAGCTTCAGAAGTGGTACGGTAGGCTTCCGTCTTGGATCGTCGGATTCGGCTAACACGCTGTGTATGACACTGGCAGTTGGGCTCGATCGTCTGCCTCATTGTCGGCCTTTGAGATGCTCCTGGGATCCTGCATTTCAGAAGGTCTTGAGGCTGAGCTTCTTACTGGACTGGCTTCGGTTCTGATGCTCCTATCACGAAATGAACGGCCATGGCTGAGTCCGCCGACTTCTATCCCCAAAACCCCCATGACCCCAGCTTCCACTCGCTCTGCTAGAAGTCATGCCCTTTACAAGCTCTGGGGTTGTCTTGACAAGGCCATGTATCTCAGTTCCACGAGAGCTGCTATTGAATCATTGATCCGTAGCGCTTTCTTTGATTCGTCTGTTCCTTGTGATCTTCTGGGAGCCTTCTTTTCCGGTACAAGAGAGGCGCTTTCCTCTGCAGATAAGTTTGACCCTCAGCGAGCGTTACATGCAATCACCAACCGGAGGCCACGTTTGAGCCCGTTGTGGGCTGCTGAGATATGCATGGATCCAGATACTCTTTCGTATGAAGTCCTCGATTGTTTGCCACCTATTTGCCTGCCTGCCGCCCTCTGGACGGGCACAATGCAGTCATTCCTCCAGGTGGCATATCGGTCCGACGAACCAGCAGAGCCAGAAGCAAAATTACTTCGTGCCCGAGAGTTCCAAATCGCTTACTTCTGCCAACCTAGTATACCCGTCCCAGAGACACCTGCTCCTCCATTCGGTGAAACGATCTTGAACAACGTCAGCCGTGAGGTTGAAACACACATGGCACATGGACATATGACTAGGTCGTGGCAAATGTACTGGACAACTAAATCTGGGGCGAAGAAACCGGCGACCGCACAATATGTACTTGAACTTGTAGAAGCTCGAATGGAGAAGGATGTTGCTGACTACAACTTTGACGAAGAGTAAGTATGATAACTTCTCGGCGCCAATGCACTTGCTGATGTGTTTGAAGATTCCCAATCAAGTTAAGAGAGGCCGTGGACGAAATTTCATGTTCTGCAACAAGACGAATGTTCAATTGGCATCGAGAATACGATGGCGGCATTTCGCTTGATGATGGAACCATGAGTCCTGAAACCGTTCGTTGCTTGCAAGCACATCCATGGGTTTCGGGCCCATTGATTGATTCTGACACGTCTATTAAAGTTGGTGAAGAGGATGATCACTGGAATGACAATAACCAACATATTCCAACCAAGGAAGAGAGAAAAGGCGGTGTTTCAACCAGTGAATATATTTTGGAGTGGCATAAAGAGGTAGAGAGATGCCAAAGGTCTGAAGACGCCAGAGTCTCTAGTTGAACTCATTAGTTCCCGTGATACTCCGCCAAAGGCCAAAGTATTCATGGATCGATTGTTTCTCTATTTCATTTGCGGCGGAAATGTATTTGCTAGGCTAATAATTTTCAGAATGATATAGTGATTACTACAAGTCCATCATGGATACCACTAGCATCATGCTACAGTCAGCCAACCTGTCAACAAGTAGCCTCTCTTCCCAATTGCATACTAGTATCTGGTAGTTGCTCTAACCTCCAACCAGTAACTTGAAATAATATAACTATCTCCATCCCAAGACCAAAACCATCTCCACGAAGCACCACCGTGAAGAAGAATACATCCATATAAGTTAAACATATAGCATACATGACTCTCCCTCCATGTACGACAGCTCAAGATGAAAGCAATATACATTAGAGTCGGTTTATGCAAGTCGCATGGCTTGATGTTGCCGAGCGGGAAGAATTAGACCCAGCCATCTGCACACATTGAATGCTACAAGGAAGACTCTAGGCTATAAGCAAAGATAGACTCTGCACGGTTCAATGCTTATTCGCATGCAGAATAAGTGTATGACTTTGCATTAATGGACATGAATATACTATAACCCAAGTCTAGGACAGGAGAGAACATGATGACTTGATATACTATATAATAGTATATAGTGAGTGACCTGTTCTGTGGGAAGTACTACTCATGTTTATCCACCCCCCAAGAAAAAAAAAAATATGAGATCAAGATAAGATGAAACGAGAATTACATGTAACTGGTCGGTCGTTATATTCAGTGAACTAACTGATAATGGTATCGTATCATGCTGCTTATATCGCTACAAAGAAACTCTTCTCGCCCTCCTTCGGCACCACGCGTGCCCGTTCAATAATCGGATCAGCACAGCTGACCCGGATCCGCTCCGGAGTCGCTGGACTCTCTAGCCGCAATACTTCCTTGACGTTCCATTGCTGGCGCGCCGCCTTGAGCGCATCGCGGATAGCAAAGAAGACAGCGCTGCCCATGAACAGCGGCGGTTCGCCAACACCACGGGATCGCTGGATAGTCCGCAGGTTCTCCCACTCCACGTCCTTCAGTAGACTGACGTTGAAGATCTGAGGGATATCTCGGAATCCAGGGATCTTGTAGTTTCCGGGGCCCTTGGTGAAGATCTGTCCCGACGCCCGGTGCCATAGACTCTCTTCGGTGGTGAAAAGACCCTGGCCTTGGATGAAAGCGCCTTCGATCTGTCCGTAGTCGATCGATGGGTTGATGGTACGACCAACATCCATCTTGATGTCAGCACGCAAAGGAGTCCAGTCGCCTGTGAGAGTGTCAATCTGTACTTCGGCGGCCGTTACACCCTGTGTGAAGTAGAAAAACATCTGGCCCTTGTTTTCGCCCCACACGTAGCCAATGTCCGGGGTACGGTAGTATCCCTGCGCGGAGAGGTTGACCCGGTCAAAGTAGGCTGCGTGAGCGAGGTCTTTCATAGTGGCTCCCGGCATTTTCTCCCGGTACGGCTTAAGACGTTCATTCAGCTGCTCACAAGCGTTGTAGATGGCGTAGCCATTGAGATCAGAACTGGCCGACGCAGCCGTGGATGATGTGTTGGCCACAGTATTCGTGGCAGTCTCCGAGATGAAGACGTTGGATTGGGGAACACCTAAAGCTTCGGCAGCGATCATAGTCATCTTGGTGTGTAGTCCTTGGCCCATCTCCACTCCACCGTGAGCCACAAGAACACTTCCGTCGTGATAAATATGCACCAGTGCGCCAGCCTGGTTCAGAAATAGGGCTGTGAAAGAGATACCAAACTTGGTAGGAATGAGAGCCATTCCGCGCTTGGACCACTTGTGCTTCTTATTATATTCCTCCACGGCCTTCCGTCGCTCCTCGTACGAGCTCTCATCCATAACCTGCTTATACATCAACGGCACATGCCAGTCCTTAAGCTCCTGGTTGTAGTGGGTCTTGTCTCCAGGCTTGTACATGTTCTGCCAGCGGAGTTGTTCGACCGGTATCTGAAGATGATCCGCAACCTCCGATACCATGCACTCGGCGAAGAACATGCCCTGAGGGCCGCCGAAGCCACGGAACGCGGTGTTTGAAACGGTGTTCGTCTTGCAGATACGACCACGGACGTGCATGTTCGGTATGTTGTAAACTCCATCAATGTGTGAAAGCGCTCTTTCAACTACTGCACCAGACAGATCTTGGGTGTGGCCACCGTTGGCGTATATATCCGCATCAAATGCAAGCAGTTTACCTTCTTTTGTCACTCCCACCTTCCAGCGGCAGAAGAATGGATGGCGCTGGCCCGAAGTAGCAATATCCTCATCGCGATTGAGCATGCACCGCACGGGTAGCTTCGCCTTCGCAGCAGCTGTAGCACAAATACCAGCCAGCTGGACCGAACGCGTCTCTTTGCCACCAAAGCCGCCTCCAAGGCGCTTTACCCGAGACACAATCTTGTTGGCAGCTACACCAGTTACTTGTGCAACGTAAGTTTGCCTAGAAAGAATCAGTATAGCCTTTCTTGGGGTAGATGTCATGACTCACGTTTCCGTTGGGTTTTGTGTCCCACTCCAGATCTCCATCTCTCCATCCTCAAGCTTGGGGATAGCAACACAAGCCTGAGTTTCCAGGTAAAAGTGTTCCTGACCACCCATTCTTGACTGTCCGGTAAAGACATAGTCTGCTTCTTTGAAGGCACTCTCTGGGTCCCCACACTTGATAAAGCGGGAGTGTTCAAAGAACGACTCGGCCTCAATGGCTTCTTCCATACTCAAGATTGCCGGCAGCTCCTCATATTCTACCTTGACCGCTCTTGCACCCTCCTCCGCAATCTTGGCCGATGTTGCGAGAATCATACCAATGGGTTGGCCAGCAGTTGTGACTTCATCGACCGCGAAGAAAACTTCATCGCAGTTCGGAGCTCCCCACCAATTGGCCTTGGGGTTAGGGAGATCGGTATGATCCACATAATGAGCAACGCCAGGAATATCGAGAGCGGCCGAAGTATCCACGCTAAGTATCCGAGCATGCGCCTTGGTCGAAAGAACCATGCAGCCGTAAAGCTCGTTTTTCATCATCGGCATGTCATCGGTGTACTGTGCTTCTCCAGTAGCTTGCTTCAGTGCAGAAACATGAGGACTAGCCTTTCCGAGAATCTTCTGTTGATATGCTGCAGAAGCCTCGTGATCTTTCTCTCCAGAGGAAATGGCTCTTTCAATCTCGGCAATGACATCTTCATCAACATCTGCGTCCGTGACCTGGATGGAGGACAGTACATCGTGGTAGAACCGGTAGAAGAATCCCAAGGCGAGAGACTTTCTGTAAGTCGCCATTCCTCCAGGGACACCAAACTTCAAGTCAAAGTCCTGCTCTAAGGCACCCATGGTACCCTCAAGGGTAGCAGGGTTGGTGAACTTCTTGCCAGCCAAATAGGCCTCTGCATTGCGTGCGGACACGGTCATTGGGGCCAGCCCTCCAAAGACCAAGTTTACGCTCTGCACATCGTGGGAAGGAGAAAGTGAGACCCGCAAAGCTGCGTTCACGATCGCGATGTCATCATCCTTTCTCTTTGACTGCTTGTAGGCACGCAGATATTCCCCCTTCTCGGACGCAACCGGGATCCGTAAACAAGCGATAATAGCGTCAGGCGGGAGCGCAGTGGATCGATAGCCCTTGAAGAACTGGCTCATAGGGATTTCGATAACTTCACCCAACGACATGGCTACAAGGACAGTGTTGGTAGCCACAAAGACTGGATTTAGGTCAGAGATTGGAGATGCTGTAGCCAGATTTCCTGCTGGTGACGCGACGTTGCGAATTTGTCTTCCAGCAAAATAGCGGAGTTGCTTCTTGATGGCGTTAAATGGCTGGCCTCGCAAAGGCCCATAGCGTTCGAGGGCTTCATCACAGATTGATTCGAGATCGGTCAAGGAGACATTGGCCCCAATCTCCAAATGGTCATCCTTGAGCGAATACTGACGGAGTTCCGGAATATCACCGACGTAGACAGAGGCGCTGTACCTCATAGCCTTGAATTTGACCTCAATCTGTGTCTCCGTGCTCCCTCCAATGATCTTAGCATCAGGATGTACAGCCTTGATCTCCAATAATTGTTCGAGAGTGACCGGACGGTACCACTTCTTTTTCTTGTTACCAAGGACCAAAGGGCGGAATTCGTGCTTGTGGAGCTGAGGCGGGAAAATCAGCTCCGTGCCCGGAGTGTACTCTATGAACTCTGGCGGCGTGAATTTCGGACCATCTCCATCTGTTGTGTCTGCCGATGACTGCTTGCAGCAACCCCCAGCGCCGTTCTGTTTATCCATGCAACAACCTGTTCCTCCGTTGGCCAGGGATTTCCCGCAGCCCTTGGGAGCTGTGAAGCTCTGGGCAGCATCCAATATGGGCCTGTACCCGGTGCAACGACAAAGATTCCCGTCAAATGCTTCTTCAGCGTCGTGTTCGGTCGGCGCAGAGTTATTGCGTAGGAGGGCATAGAGGCTCTGTAGATCTGTCAGCTTAGTCCCGCCATTCACCATACTTCGAAGAGCATACCATGACAATTCCTGGCGTACAGAAACCGCACTGGCTTCCATTACCAACCGCAAGTCGCTGTTGGACAGCATGGGGATTCTTCACATCGCCGATACCTTCCACCGTTATAACATGTTTCCCGTCTACACTGATTAAGGGTGCGAGGCAAGCGTTGACTGAAGCATGATAAAGCTTCTTTGTCGTCGTATTGAAATGCGATACAACCTGGTTCACGTCAACATGAATCTAAATGCTGATGAAATGACCTGGATACATACCACTGTGCAAGCACCACAGCCACCTTCCGCACAGCCCAGCTTCGTGCCTGTCAGACCGATACCCCGCAGATACTCCAATAGCGTGACTTCCGGATTGATCGAGTCGAGGACTACTTTTGTGCCGTTGAGATAGAAGCGAATAGTGTCATCCCAGTCCTCCGTGAGCTGAGCCAAGGTGACAGCCTTACTGGCAGCCACCGTTGGCTTTGGTGATTCTAAAATGCCTGGGGCCATCTTGTTTCCTGGAACTCAAATGCGGAAAGTCGATTTCCCCGCCGAGATGAGCGGACGCCAAGACCG